ATATTCTTGTTAACTCTTCTATACCCTAACTATCCACAATAATCTGTGATGTTTAGTTATTTTGTAGATTATTTTGTGTTGTTTCCTAAGATTCCTAAATTTAATTTGTACACATACTTTCGGATAAAATAGGATTTTTGCTAGGATATTCATCCAATATCCTAAGAGAATTATCGGTCAATTCCTATTGGTTAATTCCTACTGGTCGTCCTAGATATCAATGTCACCTACTCCAAGGTTGTTTCTTATTGGTTGTCCTGACTAACAATGTCCCTTCAAATGTCACTTCCTATTGGTCGTCTTAACTGTCAATGTCACAGAATTCGATGCTGTTTCTCATTCGACCAAAATGTATAAATACGCATTATCTGTAACGTTTTATGACCACGACCAGGACACGGTCCCGGATCCTTAGTCCGGAATCTTGATTTTCTTCTGGACTCGGACCTCGTACTTTCTGGATGCTGGTAGAATACAGGTCCTACTTCATATCAAGTCTTCTTTTACTCAATATGGGGGTTGGGATAATCGGATTAGAGTAGCATGTCGTGTCACCGGATCCTCGATCCTCGCTCTCGTTTTCCGACTAGGTAAACTCGTAATAGTTCAACTATATCAAGTTGACGTGTTTTCGTGCAGGCGTAACAATTTCTCACACTGTTTATTGGATGATGTTTAAGAAGCTAAAATATTGTGATCAACCAACTATAATTGTAAACATTTCTACAAACACGTTACGTCGTCTGTTCAAATACAATACACGAACAGATATTATAAAAATTGTATATTGCAAGTTCTCTCTATCACCTGTATGATACTTCAAAGTATCCGTGAAAGTATTCCTGAAGTCAAATTACGTAGGTGCTCCATCAATTGCTCCTCAGATTTTAACATAGTGATGTCAACTTTAAGACAGTTTTCGCACAGAACCTCCAATGTTTCACTAATATTGCGTGAAAGGATGCTCTTTTCCTAATTCAGTTCATTAAAAAGATTATCAGGGCAGTGAATAAGAAACTGGATAGTAAAGAATACATGCACATGCTCAGAATTGTCATATACCCCACTCTCAAGTCAAACCTTTGGTTCCTCTGAAAAATCCCTGACTAACATCCTGAATAATTCAATCCATGTATTTGTTGGATACATCATGGACATATATTTTAGAAACGAATTTGAATGTGATATAATTTCAATACGCCTTATTATTTTACTTTGATATTTATTTATTAAAAATAATCATGAGTTACTAACAAAAAAAATTAAACTAACCTTTTCAGGTGAACTAGGGATATTTTCTTTATTAAAAGAACTTGGTCTGTTAGATGCTGGTGGTTTAGACGGCGCCAATGGCTTATTTTTTTGTCTTGAATCTTGAGAACCTCTATGAGGCTTTTTAGCTTTAATCGGTTTATCAAGGTGTATTGTTAATAAATAGCTATCGTCATTTTCATCTAGATCTGCAGAGATTACCTAGAATGTGATTGTGTGCGTGTGCGTGCGTAAGAGAAGAGAAAAGTTAGCATGATATGTCATTTAAGAAAGACTTTAATACAATTTCAAAAATTTTCCCTACAATGTTTATGAAATAATTATTTTGCTTTGAGATTCAGAATTTATAATGGACAAAAGATATTACTAATACTCAGTCAGTCAGTCAGATGCAACGTAGAACTTCGTACGTAAGTACATCAGTTCATGTTGCCATACCACATTAGCACAGAGATGGAATTGTCAATTCGAATCCAATAGTAGTAGAGGTAGTAAAGGTATTAGCAGTAATCGGAGAGGTTAGGATGAGAAGATTTTATTCAAGAAGTATGAGTTAGTGAGAAAAGTTTAGAAAATCAAAACTAGAGTTGTTGAAGAATCCAGAAGATTAGGATTTGAGAGAACACAAAGATTATTACCATCTCGCGGATCCCAACCAGGTAGTCGACAACAACCGACATCGCTAAGTCCACTTGTCAATGACTTCATGGATTTCTGTCATGTTTTGGTCTGGCCGCCCTAACTTTCTTCCAACCTATTCCTAAACCACAAAACATAGCTCGTCGAGGCAGTCGGTGGTTAGGCGTTCATAACACATGCCCCAACCACCTCAACTGATGAAGTTTCATTACTCCATCTATTGATCTGCCATCCTTACTTGGTACTCGTTTCCTAACGACAGCATTGCTTACTCGGTTGTCCCACGGTATACGAGCAATGCTTCTTAAACATCTATGATCGAAGACCAGTAACCTACGAATATCTTCTACTCTCACTGGCTATGTTTCACAGCCAACTGTTGCGCAGTACACTCGTCCTTTGGTTAGCAAACGGATATCTTGCCTAAGCCATAAGTGACGCAAGTCGGCAAAAGCCAATCGAGCCTTCTGTATCCGAGCTGAGATTTCGTCAGTCACCAGGCCATCGGCACTGATGAGGCTCCTCAGATAAGTAAAGCGGTCTACACGCTCAACTACTTCACTCCTTAATACTATCCTAAACGCAAGATAATCCGTAACAAAAAAAATGACAGGATGAGATTTTACCGTTTGAGTCAGAAAAAACAAAAAATAGACAACTTTAGAAATCAATAAGATGTGATGTCCTATTGACGGCTAAAATACAAAGAGGGGTATCAAGCGTAGTGAAAGTTATGAAAGTGTTGGATTAGGGTTAGTAATGAGAAAAGTAAGAGCTCAAAATTTACTAGAAGAGAATCGTGTCAACTTACAGAAGCAATAAAGATCCAAGTGGGTGGAAGAGTTTTTCAAGATTGTTAAAGTTCATAGTTTACATTAAGAACTGGTCTTAGTTAGATAATCACCAGAAATCACAAACCTCTATACGTATGCGTTCATTATGCGTTCATTAGTGATTAATTTTTTTGAAATAATTCCCAGAATTCCATCAAAAACCTTTATTTTGGGGAGTTCAATCATGTTAGTAGTGAGGGAATTACTCACTAAAAATAACGATGGTTGATTGAATGTAAAAAAACACAAGTAATCGGCTATTGATTCAGTAATCTGAAGCTTAAGTGACCACTGAGAGACGTAAAGATTTTGAGTTCGATCCCCAGTAGTGTTTTGAATGCGTACTACTGAATGGTCCTATACAAAAATGAAACAGCTGACTATTCCTCCCTGATTTTTAGTTGTTATTTAGCCACAGTCAGTTTATGATGTAGAACAGCAATGCTGCTGAGTGATCACAGCAGTGACAGTTAATTGAACATAATGTTTCTTCCTCTCTTAACTATGTCACAGAACGGCCAAGGCTCTGAAAGTGCAACTTTAGTACTACTGCTGATATGTTTATCATATAGCCATTAAAAATTTGGATGTACTCTACTCTTATACAGTCTTAATTGACGTATAAACTGTTACTTTACGTTTTTAATTTCCTCAAATTATTGCTAATTACTCATGAACCCTTATGGCTTAGTTATGCCCACTCTGTAATTTTATATTTATATTTGTGTGGTCTGTAAATTTCCATTTATTGTCATGCTAATCTGAGTTATTCATTGAACAGTACATTCGAATTACCCGCCTACTGTTTTGTTGTTTTATTCATGACTATCGAACCGGTGGATATGAGAATCCTCATGATCCTGGGGATCAATGGATGCTGAATGTCAATCTCATCATTGTCTTACTGTCGTTGAGCTCTTAATCAAAAGAAAGAAACTGATACATTGGATGCTAAAGGTCGTCGGTCGTATACAGGTAACTCAGGCGGATTAATCAATACTAGTGTGGTGCTGTGGTGCGAGCTACTTATAAGTAGTATATGACGTGAGTGTCAACGTAATGTCTGGCAGCAGAAGATGGGGGGAAGATCAAGAAAGGAAGAGTTAGAAAACAATGGAATTTGTATGAAACGCATGAATAGTGACAATGGATTGATGTTTTGCAACAGGAACAATCCAGTTCGATAGGATGGACTGATAATTTGCAAATGAACGATTTGCGATATGGTTTTCCAATTTTACTGATTAACTCTGTAATTTTCGCTAAATAAAATTCGGTTGCCTCACCTGTGTTTTCGTTCTCTACACTAGGACTACAGACTATATAGCTACGTTTACAATTATGGGTTGTCCACAAGACACCAAATAAAATAAAAGAATCCTACTTTTGATAACTTCAACTTACACTGCCCATTTTAGCTTGTGATAAAATGCCCTCGAATATTTTATCACGTTTTGTATAATCAATTAAATGACATTTTACATGTTCGATTTGTTCATTTATATTACCCATGCCTTGGCTCATTGTTGGCAATGATTGTTGATTTGTAGAATAAGCAGAATCATTTTGTCTGTGAGCAAATTTCTCGGTAATTTGTTTGATCAAATCGCGTACTTCTGTCACAGTGATATGACGTGTTTGATCAATACACTGAAGAATAAATAAAGTATAAAATTTTAGAAATCAATATTTCATGTTGATTAAAATTTGTGCTGTATCCTTTCTTAAATGGATATTTTAGGTTAATTTAATTCGGAGAAGACGTTTATTAATACGAAAAAGACTCGCTGAACAAGTTAGTGGTTAATTTGATTTGTAAGAATAGTTGATGATGATACGTTGGAGTTTGAAGCGATAGTTGCCCCTTATCCAACTGTCGGTGAGAATATCAACACATGGATGCAAGTATTTACAGGGTAGAAATACCACGCAGAATGAAAGGTAGCCTTGGGTTCTACTAACAGACACAGCCCAGATAAACTCGATTGATTTCCATTTTATAGTTTTAAACAGAAGAAATGGAAAATGTTATTAGTTTACACAAAATCAAAAACATGAGTTCCTTCCAACCGGGTACTGTAAATTGTCTGGATTTCATCTCATGTTATTAACATAAGTTACATTATGTTTATATGAGTTGCCTGCATTTATTTATGAAAACGGCATTTGGCAATTTTTAGGAATTATTAAGATTATAAGTCAATTTTCTTTATGAGTGTTACGCATGCACGTAAACATGTCAACTTATATGCTTGAACTATTACGAGTTTAACTCAGTCAGTAAACGAGAGCGAGGATCGATGGTCCGGCGACACGACAGGCTACTCTAATCCAATTGTCCCAACCCCCATATTGAGTAAAAGAAGGAGACTTGATATGAAGTAGAACAGGTATTCTACAAGCATCCAGAAAGTACGAGGTCCGGATCCAGAAGAGAATCAGGATCCCGGACTAGGGATCCGGGACCGGGTCCTGGTCGTGGTCGTGGTCATAAAACGTTACAGATAATGCCTATTTATACAGTTAGGTCGAATCGGAACCAACATTGAAGTATGTGACGCTGAAGGTTAGGACGACCATAAAATTGACCAGTAGGAATTAACCAATAAGAATTGACCAAAAGAACTAGACTTACAAATAATTCTCTTAGGACATTGGATGAATATCCTAACAATGAGTGCCTATATTTATAGCATTAATGCAGTGACTGCCTAAACTTAGCCACTTTTATCGACAAGAACTGAGAATAGTTCTTTAAGGCCGATTGCTTTTAATATCTTTATGTAGAAGAGGTAGAATTATTGAAGACAATGAACATACGCAAGAAACAACCTTCCATAAATATATGCTGGTTCAAATTCATTCACTAAACTGAAAGTGATTATTTCGGGTCTCCAACTGACCTATCCGGAATGACAGATCAGTAAGAATATAGCGATATTAACAGAATAGTAGAGTTTTAATCATTATTTCCCATCAAATGTTAAGCTTAGTATCACTCCATACCTTTTTATTGTTTTATCCGTTTCTTTCGAACGGAATCTTCTGTTTGCAGTCTTATATCATAAACTAATTTTAACTGGATAACCACTGATATCTAGGAATTGAGAGACAGTTTATTCACTATGTGGAGTGACCGTCATTCATTCCCACTGACAATATTTGTCTCATACCTGATATGGTTGAACTCCATTGTCCCCCTTGATTTTTGGCTGATCGTTGAAGTTTTTAATATTATCTCCCCTTTCTCTAGCTTTTCGTTTCTTACTATGAGGTGAGGCAACCTCAAATCAATAAATATTTGAGCCAGATCTCACATTGATCATAACTAACAATAAAGTAAGTTTATCCTCTATAAAAATCGTTTTACCATTCTTTTATGTGCTGTTTAACTAGATTCATGATACCATGTGATACGATTATCATAGTAAAGATATTCAGTAAAATGCCTTGAACTTCAGCCTCATATTTATTTTTTGTTAAACAACTGACAGACAGGCGTATATAGGTGTTAAGATATTCATCCAATATCCTAAGAGAATTATCGGTCAATTTCTATTGGTTAATTCCTACTGGTCAATTTTATGGTCGTCCTAGATATCAATGTCTCGCGCTCCAATGTTGTTTCTTATTGGTTGTCCTGACTATCAATGTCACTTCAAATGTTGCTACCTAACGGTCGTCTTAACTGTCAATGTCACAGAATTCGATGCTGTTTCCTATTCGACCAAAATGTATAAATACGCATTATCTGTAACGTTTTGTGACCAGGACCAGGACCCGGTCCCGGATCCTTAGTCCGGGATCTTGATTTTCTTCTGGACTCGGACCTCGTACTTTCTGAATGCTTGTAGAATACAGGTTCTACTTCATATCAAGTCTCCTTCTTTTACTCAATATGGGGGTTGGAATAATCGGATTTGAGTAGCATGTCGTGTCACCGGATCCTCAATCCTTGCTCTCATTTTCCGACTAAGGTAAACGCGTAATAGTTCAAGCATATCAAAATGACGTGTTTACGTGCAGGCGTGACAATGGGCCATTAGAGAAACATTTGTGTTGACAAGAGGGGATGAACTAAAATATGAAACTTGGAAAATTGTCTAAGACGAATCAGTTTTTTATATTTTTGACGAATATTTATCAAACAGCTAGCTATTTCACAACATTTTTATTTAGTCCAAGAATTGTAAACTCTCATCTTTTAATGAATTAATTATGGTTGTATTTAACTATTTACAAATTACGGTCACTTAATTATTAGACTGTTACTCAACTCTGTACTTATTGAGTTCTATCTATCATTTATGTTGTCTTTTATGATGATAATGAAGGTACTCGAGGAAACTCATCTGATCTTTGCATCTCGAACTGGACCTGTGGAAGCGTGAGAATCTCTTGAGCGATCTATCGACTATGTAACTAGCGTAACTATTAACTGTAAGCGGTGAAGTTAGAAGAAGACAACCGTTTCCTTCCACCAACATTTCAATTCATGTCACTTAGTTCTGATAGTCGACGATCAACTGATATCATATTTCCACCTTGACTTAATGTAATGAGTCGTGGATGCGCACTGCTGATGAGATCCATACCAGGACGAAACGGCTGTCGTTCAGTGCTTCCAGGTTTCTTCTAATGGTGGTCTAACAATGATTGATTGATGATTTCAAATGTGTAAAAAAAACACAAACCTCCAAAACTCTGCCCCAAAATATAGTAATTTATCAAAACCAACAACTAACATTGTTGATTGTTTAAAATAATAATACCTACAATATATTGTTTTTTGAAATTGACAATGACAGAAAAATTATTATAAAATCTTCATTCCTATTTCATTCTCATTTCTTAAATACAATATTCTCTTTTATTTCGCAACACACTACTAATCAACTTGGCTAACTGCTCACAGTTCATGTAAACAATCAATATCTATGGCGAAACTATAGTAACACCCATTGAAAACGGATTTACTAAAAATAGAAATAATAATAAACAACCTAGTTTGTTTGTTTGTTGCGTTGTGTTGTGTTGTGTTGTGTTACTTACTTGGGTAAGATGATTTGCTATTGCGCTCAACTGTTGTGGACTAACAAAATTTTCCATATTCATCATTGGTGGCTGAGTAGACCAAAATGGAACTGTATTATTATTAAGATTATGACTATTCAGTATTGGGTATGAACCAGAAATGTTGCCTGAATTCGGTGTACGTATATCCCAATTCAAACCGGGCATTTGACCCCATAGATTGATTTGTGTACCTGAATGATTTGTCGCCGCAAAACCTTGATCTGCATTCCCTTGAGTAATAAAGAAAAATAAAATTCTTCATAGTAATTTAGAGATTAGTTGTAATTCCTAAATATATGCATAAAATCTGATAAAAATTCATATGATTCTTTTTTGAACACATTTTGAAGTTTTGTACGGACAATCTATCAAACTGTTCTACTGAAGAAAAGATAATTTAAAGCCTACATATTAATAATAAAGTAAGCTCATAGGAGTCCGTGTAAATAAAAGTAGCCTGTGCATCTATCTGTAAAAGTTTTTGCATCCTCCTCTTCTTAGTGTGGTCGATTTTGTATTGAGCTTCTTTTTCACTTCTTAATTTTATGCTGATACAGTCCGTTTTAATGAATAACCGATTGACTGATTGATAAAGTTTTCTTACTAACTTGTTTTTAGCATGACACAATTTATTTCAACTTTTGAAATCTTGTTACAAATGTATATCATATAATTTCTTGATAGTCAGTCAGCCAGCTACAATGTAGAACTTCGTACGTATGTACGTACTTTAGTTCAAGTTGCTATATCACGCTAGCACACAGATCGAATTTTCATTTCAAATCCCAGTAGTTGAAGTATTAAAGGCAATTAAAAAGATTAGTGATTGAAGAAGTGATTCAAGAAGTATATCCCAGTGAAGTCAGTTTAAAAATGGAAAAAAAGGTGGGGAGGAATTTGTAAGGCTAAAATTTCAGAGATGACAAAGAGTGAATGCACCTGCGCCATCGCAAACGATTTTGAGCTAAGGCATTAATCGCCTGTTAGCATTGTCTCGCTAATCCCAACAAGGTAGTCTACACCTACCAACATGGCTCAGTCCAGTTGTCAATGACCTCAGGGATTTGTGCCATGTTTTGATTTAGCCACCCTTAGCTTTCTTTCAACCTGCCCGTACATCGCTAAACATAGCTCGTCTAGGCAGTCGTTGGTTGGGCACAAGTAACACATGTCCCAACCAGCTCAACTGAAGATTCACAACTTCGTCAACTGATCTGTCATCCTTACCTAGTACCCTTTTCCTGACACCAGCATTGCTTACTCCGAGCTCCCAGGATATACGAGCAATGCTTCGAAGACATCAGTGATCGAATACTCTTGACCAACGACTATCCTCTACTCTAACTGACCATGTTTCACACCCATAACTTACTACAGTTTATTTCATACTTATAGCTGCCATTTTTCCATCCAAATTCACGCATTATATCTTTCTTACTAACTAAGAGCTTATTTTAGAAATAATCCGAAGTATGATGACGGAGTGTAAAGAATTTACTACATTTATCGTGAGATTTAGTTGTTCAGTAAAGGAGTACCATTCAAGGGCAAAACTACTGTTAAATCTCTCTTTGTTTCTTATTGTTGTTTAACTGAAGTCACTTCATTACCAACAATTTTCACAATAGTTTCTAGTAACAAACTGTGATTTTTCGCAATAAACAATATTGATTTCTTATTTTTATTATTATACTAATGTTCGTTGTTATCTTAAGACTGTAGTCTTATCGACAGAACTCCGCCTGGAGCCCCTTTGGGGCTCCTGATGGTGCCAAGCCCGGATAAAGGAGGAGGGTTGGGCATAGGGTTGGCAGCCCTATCCCATAAAAAACACTATCTCGCTAAAAAGTCGTTAACCAGATAATGTTGACAGAGTTTCGATATTTGAAAAGATCATTATTTATTACACGTGGCAATACTATCATGAACATGTGGAAATTAAGTAATATTTTATATACTATCTATTCCTGTAATTAGTAAGAAATATTATTGTACATAATTTGGTTGTAAATGATGTTATTGGATATAAATATCAAAATTTATAGTTAAAATCTATATATAAACATACGAAGAAAAACACAATCAACATGCACGTTAACTAATAAAAATATCCATTTTTGAAACCATGAATCGATCAATGTTAGACCACCATTAGAAACCTGGAAGCACTGGACGGCCAGTTCGTCCTGGTATGAGACTCCTCAGTAGATACTGGCTCAGTGGTCCGATGGTTAGGCGTTCGCGCACAGTACCGAAGGTCCTGGGTTCGAATCCTGTGGGGTGCAGGAGTCTTGGATGCGCGCTGCTGAGGAGTCCCATGCCAGGACGAAACAGCCGTCTTTCAGTGCTTCCAGGTTTCTAATGGTAGTCTAACATTGATCGGTTCATGATTTCAAAAATATGTAACTTAACAATCTTCACAACCCCCTAATGCTAATGAAAATACAACATCATAATGTCAACTGTAAATTTAACTTACTACGCATAAAATTTTCAATTACATCTTCGGCATAGTCATCGTTCTGTCAATTAAATATAACAAAATTGAATTGAATTAGTCTAGTTATAGTACGGATAGTGTGTAGAGATTTTTGAATTTTTATGTAGTTTCCATCACCGACTAACTAATCAAACAGTAAAACATCACAGAACAACGAACAACTATTTCATTCTTGTATGGAACTTCTAAACACTGCTTATCCACAACCTAATCAAGGATTAAACTCAGGACGTTCACATTCCTTATCAAATGCTTAACATTCAAACCATTAAGCCGCTATCTAATGATTTACATATCTAGCGTTAGTCAGGACATGATATCTCAATCGTCTAAATGTCAAGCGCTTGACAAGAGATCTTTACATCCTGAGTTCAACCCTTGGTTGGATTGTGGATGTGGACGTCTGAGAAGTTCCATACTAGAATGAAATAACTATTCACTGTTTCTTAGTTTTACGGATCATCCAAATAAGATCACTCAATGATATGAACTACGAACTAGTCTAAATTGAACAGTACAACTTACTTTTCGTATTATAGCTGGACTGTAAACATGACCATTTGCCTCATCGCGATCATCATCATTATCATAATTATCAAGCATTTCCAATGCATCACTTGATGAATTCTCTTCATCACTTTCTATGCCAGTCAGTTTATTGCCATTATGAAGTTGATTGCTATCTTTATTATTACTACTGTCTATAACTTTAAATTTTCGTGTGACAGTATGACTTTCCACATTTGTTACACTACGATGAAATGTCGATAAAATCAGTGGAAAAGAAAAAAATTAGTTAGGTTAACTCATTAATAATCAAAGCAGGGGTTTTAATAAAATTTGTCTGAATTAATTTTGTTACAAGTTAATAGTATATTTCAAGAAATTACCGAAAAAAGGGCCAAATACAGAAGTTTTACTTACAACGTTACAACTGACAGAAGTTAGAGATTATCGATTACACTGAGGGCTTTTATTATCAGTTAAAAACTTAGATAATAAGTTTAAGTCCTTTAAAATATATATTCCGTTAGAATCTGTTGGTTGCAGTGTAGGAGTAGATTGGAAGAAAGCTAGGGGCGACCAAACCAAAACATGGCACAAATCCATGAAGTCACTGACAAGTGGACTGAGTCATGTTGGTAGATGTAGGCTCTACCTGGTTGGGATCCTCGAGACGAAAGTCACCGATGGTTAGAGACCTTGAACGACATGGCTCAGAATCGTTTGCAATGGAGCAGGTACATCCACTCTTTGTTATCTATGAAATTCTAAGCTTCTACATTCCTCATCATCTCTACCTTTCTCCTTCTAAATTTATCTTACTAAATTATACTGCTCAAATCATTTCTTCGCTCCCTAGTCTTCTCCATCACTGCTAATGCTAATATTATTGTTATCACTCTTAGATTTGAACTGACAGTTGCGTCTCTGTGTTGATTGGGCATGGCAACCTGAACTGAGGTACTTAAGTACGAAGTTCTGCGTTGTATCTGTCTGTCTGTCTGTCTGTTGATTGTGTGGTGCTGTGTTGCGAACTACTTATAAGTAGTATATAGCGTGAGTGTCAACGTAAAGTCTGGTAGCATAATATGGGGGGAAGATCAAGAAAGGAAGAGTCAGAAAACAATGGAATTTGTATGAAACGCATGAATAGTAATGACAATGGATTGATGTTTGGCAACAGGAACAGTCCAGTTCCATAGGATGAACTGATCTTTTGCAAATGAACGATTTACGATATGGTTTTCCGATTTTACTGACTAACTCTGTAATTTTCGTTAAATACAATTCGGTTGCCTCTACCTGTGTTCTCATTCACTACAATTGTATCGCAAGATTAAAATTATCAATTAAGCTACCTTGTTCAATCTAATGGTTTTATCAACCATTTGAACTAACATAATAATTCATATCACGAAATTGAAAGTAGGTGCATTCTAAAATATTTCGAACAATATGTGTTTATGGCCAATTCTAAATTTAAATATAAATTCATTAATTCTTTCAGAAAAATAATTAGACGTTTATCTGTGTTCGCTACTAAAAGCACCTAATTGCGTCACAAGACAAGCCCTCACATGGAACTCCAAACAACTTGCAACCAAAACCAGAATCAGGATTTTCAATACAAATGTCAAGACAGTTCTACTGTATGGAGCGGAACAATGGAGAACTACCAAAGCCATCATTCAGAGGATACAAGTGTTTATTAACAGCTGTCTACGAAAAATACTTCGTATTCGTTGGTCAGACACCATCAGCAACAACTTACTGTGGGAGAGAACAAACCAGATTCCAGTGGAGGAGGAAATCAGGAAGAAGCGGTGGAAGTGGATAGGACACACACTACGAAAAGCACCTAACTGCATCACGAGACAAGCCCTCACATGGAACCCTCAAGGCAAAAAGAAAAGAGGAAGGCCAAGGAACACATTACGCCGGGAAATAGAGAAAAAAAATGAGAAGAATGAACAAACATTGGACAGAACTGGATAGGGAAGCCCAGGACAGAGTTGGTTAGAGGAAACGGGTGGGCGGACTATGCTCAATTGGGGGTAACAGGCGTAAGTAAGTAAGTAAGTAAGCTGTCTGTGTTCGGTCGAATACCTTACAAACATTGTAAATATAAGAGGAATAAAGTCGGAAAGGGAGATCTTTGTTGGCTTGAATAACATATATCTGTGACTTTTACGCATAAATTTCCAAATACAGCAAACAAAAGCTATGCCCAATAGTCAGACTTTAATTTTATTCTGTGATAAGGGAAGTATAAGAATACCTAATTTATAAATCCTCTAAGTATTCTAAGTAATTATTTATAATTTTTACTTTGTTGGATATTATACTCATTATTTGTTCAAGCTTCTGGTGTAAATTCGTTTGCCGACCTTGTGTTTGTTAATGTAGTGTAATGAGTATAGCATGCTGACTACAACTAGACAATCACTGAACATCAGCAATCATTGAACAAGTGTTCCAGCCTATAATTTGTTATTTAGGAACTGGAATTTCGAGGAATGTTACTCTCCTAGGCTTTTCAGATCATATTGAATTTTAGATGAAAATGAAATAATTACCTGTGAACAGCCATTGCTTTAACAATTCTTTTACCAGGACGAAGGGCAAATGGTGCTTTATACACAAAAGTCACCTCACGACCATCAACTTTTCTCTTCCATGGATTAGGATTTTTCCCATTCGTCGTGAAATATAATCGTGCATTTGGTGTATCTAAAATAATTCATATTTTATATGAACAGTCAGTAAAAGATGAGAATATTTACAAGTCTAGAAACTGTGTCAAACATATATTTCAAATTTAAGAAAAATCTCAAGCTATATCTCGTAAGCAGAATTTTGAAATCTGTCGCATAAATCCAACTGTGGTTGCTATAGAACTTTGGCAGAAAGGTGTATGATTTGTTGTGTCTCAGATTGAAGGATAATACTAAATCAAACATTAAGTTCAGTGAGCTTATTAGTGAGATTTCTTTCTGCGAGACTTTTATTTCAAGCAAACATGAATTAAAAGTCTAACCAAAACAAAATACCAACAAATACATGTTTTCAGACTCAATATAATGGTTGTAAGTGCTCATTATAAAAATGGTACCAGTCAACTACAGCAATAATTGTTAAACTGACTTATCTCGCCAATTTTAGATTGGTTTTAGCCAATACTTGTAACTTCTGATTACAAGTTTGAGGTAACGTGGCTTTAAGCTAGTTCTAGCATTGCAACTGTACTTACTCTGTATCTTTATTCAAAACTTGATGTCATTTGATGCCATTTCATACCCTTCATTGTTTGATCGCAGTAGCCTACTTTAAAATAGGTATGTCACTGTCAATCTTAACTCTCTCGATTTCCTCCTCAGTGTACTAATATGAGCAAACACTTGTAACAGGTTCTGTTAATAATGGACTAGCAACGCGGAAATTAGTCCGTACATTATGCTACTATTAAACTTCGTTGATGACTAGAGTTTTGCCCTTTAGTTTTATAGATTTTAATACTTTTCCAATGGGATTTTTTTATAACCTCCACAGCTAATAATGCAAATCATGGTTTAAAAAATATCTTAAGCTCTGTTTAGTTTAGTATAAATGCAACTTAAATGCCTAACGTTTCTATTCTTAAACAATCATAAATTTCAATCGATATGGTGCCATTGTTTTTCCCAAGAACTTCAACTTTATGCCTTGCAGATGTAGAACAAAAAAAAGATTATTGTTATTCCCAATCTAAGTGACGATTCTGTTACCTGATACAATTTCAATGAATGTTTGAGTATCAATGCAACCTGATAATGTTTCTTTATCTTCCGACTTTAGTGGTATAATTTTTGGTGCAGCGATGCCTCCTGTAATTGGCATTTTCTGTAAGGATTAAGCGACTTCCAAGTGTTAGTCAGAAATAAAAAGAGAATTGACCCGGCAAAAGAAACTGCATAGGTTGAAAAAGAAAGTAAGTAGATATAATAATTTAAATGGCATGAAAATTTGGTTCAGGAAGAATGCATAGAAAATAAAATTGGGTGAATGAAATGATGATTAAGTCGACAATTCATCGGGGTACAATCAGTCAGATCCTCACTGTCATGCATGTGAAATCATATGGTATAAGTTCTCCGTTTTTGTTGGGTACTGTCACTTGACACACCTCAACACCTGAAGAAACCGATACCGTTCTGGCAAGCAGTCGGTGCTTTTGTAGAAAAGTAAGACGTCTTGATCTGACCTTGGTAAAAACATAAGAACTATTACCTAAATTGTATTCCGGATGAACCTTTGGATGTTTCTCAGTTCCAAATGTTATGCGTGGTCGCTTTCAGGTGATACAAAAAATCAAGGCACAGTAATCTAGACTTACGAACCTTGATAAAAACCATGGCCAATAATCTAAATACTGCAAGCGTAATCAAAATTTGGATATACTGAAAGCTCAGATCGATTTGTATTCGCATTTATATTATTACGGTCACAAAAGCCTTTATTTTAGTTTTCTTTGCTAGTCATCTGTTATATCTACAGAAATCGTAGCGAACGGCTCTAGATCTGCTGTTTACTTGGGAACTGAAAGCAATGCACCAAAGAATGCATACACGAAGATGACAGTTAACAAACTCACTTAAAAAAACTTTTGCCATATGTTATTTGTCTTTAAGATGATTGTAATATTTCTGCATATGGTTGCCTTGATGACAATTAAAGAAAGCTTGCTTTTCCAAAATGTCACAAATTTGCAATATTTTTGGATAGACAGTACGCTCAACCTGTGCTTCATGAATTAGACGCATACTCACATCTAGTGTTTTCAGTCACCTACTATTCTTTTTGTAATAAATTAATTTGCTAAAACAACTCAGCAGCATAGTAAAACAATATTAAGTCAACTACAAATCTTCCCTAAGAAATATAATTAATATCTGGCAACACGAATTGAAAACACTTTTTTTAACCCTCATAATTCCGAAGTATAATGATTTTACAAGTTACTGTATGAGAGTATATTATTTTGTTTATGAAAACCATTTGATCGTGTTATGGACCACAGCAAGGTACATTTACTTTCATGAGTTTTCTAGTCTCTAGATATAAATTTAGATATTGACCTTAATAGTTACAAGTGACCCTGTTTTGAAGAGCAAACGATCATTAAAATACATGGTAACTACAATTATATACTTCCCATCCTTCAAGTATGTAGTCTAACTTAGAGACAAGTATATCTGAACCAAAAAGAGACGGATAGTTGATTATTTCTTGAAAATAAACATTTTAGGTTTCTTTACAGAATAATCACTCTGCACTGTTTTTCCACTAGTTCTATTATCCTTTGGCTTCAGAGAATGAAAAATATAAAATGCCACGTTAATTTGAATGAAAAAATGTAATAAAATTTCACACGGAAACAAGTTGTATCCATGTCATAACTCTGATTCAAAATCACGGGATAGCTGTCAAGCAGTCATCCATAAACATATTGTTCATAAAAAATTACTTGTTCTAGATGAAAAATGTTTATGAATGCAGACTACTAACTGACAGCCTCAGTAAGTGGATGGCTGGAAAATAGATATCAGTAGGCTCGTTTCCAAACTGAAGGTGCATTGTGTGATGCGGTGGTGTGATGGGTAATGACTAAGAGAATGTAATATAGATAAAAACAAATGACAAAGTAAAGCTGTAACTAAGCACATAGGTTGCACTTACATCTAAGAAATCAAGCTGGAGGAAACGGATAGAAATGAGGAAAGCATGAGACTGGCACAATCTGATAATCGATACTAAAAAATATTAGCGCAAAGTTTTGAACGCGTCACATAGCCAAGTATCAAATGGTTGGTTGTTTGTAAGGTCACTAAATCACTATATGAGCAACTATTACAAACAAGTTCAATATCTAATATCTTTTCAACAAACTAGTAAAAACCAATCGATTTCTTCGCGCTCGATTTTTGTTCTTTTGGTACGGTTCCTGGCGTTCGGTAGTTTCTAGCCATTGATTGTCTAATTCTGGTCAACTGGTAGTTTTGAGAGTTTGTATGTTTCGTGATTTGAATGAATACGTTTGCTTCAAGGCCCTATGGTTTCTAGATAGCAGCAGTTATCACACTGCCAAACCAGAGATCAGTTGGTTGCAGAGTGGAAAATAATTAGGATGAAACTCTAATGCTAATAAGACTAAGATTTCAGGACTAACTAATTAATGGATAATTTAGTTTATTATTTGGAAGTGTGAGCAAGAGGGAAGAAACAGAGATAATAGGCGAGATAGATTAAGTTAGTGATCTGAGAAGATCGCAAACACAACAACTATCAGGTCTCAAGACATGCACCAGGTATAGCTTGTCCAGGAGGGAGATGATAATCCGTGTATGAGTACGTGATTATCAAGTTTCTTCTTAAAACTGTCCACTGAGGGGGATGTGGTCACCTCGGCTGGGAGAGCATTCCAAGTTGCAATGACTCTTAGTGAGAAAAAATGTACACGAACCTGATTGGTTGCTCTTTGATGCGCACTTTTTCGAAGATTGCCTCGAGGGATGTGGTGGTGATGCGTCGGTGAGATGCTCGTGTTCGGATGGTTTGGCGTGCTTAATATGTTGTACACCATAATCAGGTCATCTCTGATTCTCCTGTAACTCAGAGTGCATCTTTATCGTATCTTCAGTATCTTTATCGTTTTTACGTGAGATGCTTGTGGAATGTAATCCACGTGATTGACTAGTACTGACCGGATTAGATTTAGCCAATCAGCATACAGCTAACAACACGAGAATTTTCTAGCCTGCTCTCCGAGTCTGGGCCAAGCGCTGATTGGATAGGACATTAGCCAATCAGCGCGCTGCTGACGCAGCCATTCTTTAATTCATCTATGTGCCAATAACACGCAGAAACATGACCTAGTTAAGACAAAAGATTAACATAAAAAGTCATCTAAACTATTTAAACTCTGCTCCGTACGGACGAGCTTATAATTGTGAGGTGATAGTACCATGTCGTATTCACATAAAGTGAAAAGTTGCATTAGCCTTGGTTGCGTCCCCTATGTAGTCCGAACTGGTGTGGAGGCTTTCAGTGGTTATTAAACCGAGATTGCTCTCTGCAGAGACATTGGGGAGTGAACTTTCATTGAGAGTGTAAATTATTTGCGTCATGTGGGCAGAATCTACATGACCGGTTTAGTTGCTGTACTCCATCTGTGGGTTATATTCTTATATTCCCATAATTTACTTTAATTTTAGTGGTCAATATGAATTTTATCTTGACTTACCATTGTATTGACTATTTCAAGATGACAGGTTAAGTAGTGGTTTGGTTATACATAAACACTTGCCACGCTACTGACTTTTTCTCTCGCTCTTTTCTCCCTTTTCAGGACCCCATTAACGATGGGAAATGCTTGGCGCCTCTAGGGAACATGCACCCTATGTACATGACTGTCTGGATCACAACTCATATCAGGCGCGTTCCAATTGACCTTTCCCAACAAATTCATTATTGATCTCGGCAAATCGCCAAAGGAACCTAATGTGCACCCTCCTTATTTGTACTCTACCATTGAAAATGTGGCTGTATTATACTGTTTCTGCTAGTGTCATGGCGTAGATGTGCTATCACAAACTGACTCTTATACTTAATTTAACTGCTATAAGTTCTACAGTAAATGTGAAAGCATTTGTGACAGTTTGATCTAGCCTGTAAACTAGCATGACTCATGTAACGTAGTTATTTGAGAATAATAATAATCATTATTATTAAATCTTTTTAAATTCCCATTCCTCAATAGATGTAAGGTACTTTTGAAGATCAAGTGAATCCTCTTCGCTTCTCAAAGGACCTCGATATACTGAAACAATCAAGTTCTGGTTCTTTCATCTTGAATTTTCTCTATACTATTTGTTTGAATGTCTCTCATTGTCAATACTTCTGCGATGATCTAGTAACAAGTCGAATCGAATAAAATAACACCGAATTGCTCTATGTTTCCTCAAAATCAACACGTAAAATAGTCAACATTTGGGAAATTTAACGGACTAGTAAACCGTATATTTAGGCAGTTAGCCTTTGCTTTCCCAGATCAACTAAATTGTCTTAGCATTCGTTATAGTGGTGATAGTAGCAGTAATAGTTCGTTCAGGGGTAATTTATTAGGTTTTTATGTAAATGGTTTTCAATAACAATTACCTAGAATGAAGTGTGAAACGCCAATATATCGACCGTAATATGAAAAATGTGTGTGAAGTTTAAGTAAATATATTAAGAAAACTTCTTAGCTTCAAAGATAGTTCAATCCATTCTGACATTTATTTGGTTCATTCAAACTGCACGATGCCAGCCATAAAATTAATGTCGATTCTAGAAATATTTGTTCGGCAGATCTACTATATTGAAGTCAATTTGCCACATTGACTACGTTTTTATCGACAAGAAGCGTCCTAGTTACTTGGTTTTGAACTGGACCACAAATTGGTGGTTATGGATGGTTTTGCCAGGTGCTTGAAACTAAATTATCACAAAATACTATAGTGTTTACTATTATATTATAAATAGCAGTTGCCAACATAAAAAAAACAGGAAGGTTCACAGAAGCAGTTATCATTTACAGTACTTTTCTCTCGATAATAACGCTTATTTAAATTATCTATCATAATATCTAAGGTCCCATGAGAAGTGAAGTCTTGCACTTTTTGAAGAGGGTGAATATTTCAACAATCCGTCCGTAATTATTTGCAAGCATCATACAGACCAGACAGGCCGGTCCCAAAAGAGATTCGTCACAACCAGAAATTCTGGACTTATTGAGCATGTGTTTGACGTCACTTGAAAGACTAGAGATGAGAAACTCACTTACTTGGATTATTTGTTAACAAAAATTCGGCACCTGGCCGGTGATGTCTAAGCCTACACAGTAATATGAAGTACTAACCATGGCACAGTGATATTTAATATGGTCGCAAACGGAATCCCTAGGAGGGATAAAAACGCTTCCTACCTTTCCAACCCTAGTGCAAATTACACGTCCATTAGTGAGCACATTCTGAACACATCATGGCCACAAGAATAGTGGAGGGTTCTGGTCTTAGCATTTATTAGGCACGAAGAAACAGATGCGTTGCTGAAGTTTGAAGCGATAGGAGATATTTCCAGATCACGGTAGCAGCCAAATTAAAAGCTAGGTTCATGAACAACAGAAAACATAAAAACCAGGATGTCTGTACATTAAAAGGCCTGAATGGCAAAGATCTTATCAACTTAAAGATGGCTGAAATCTTTAACACCTACTTCACCTATCAGTTAAACCAGGTACCTTCTGGTTGAAAGTACTACACAAACCCAGAGGCAGCTGATGACCTAAGGAATATCCAAATTACTCCTGATTTAGTATGAAAAAAACTCGAATCCGTGAGCCCAGGAAAGTTAACAGAGTATGACAACATTCGCCCTATAGTCTTGAAATGGTATGCAGAAGCCGTAAATTCAGTAACAGTACTTTCGAAATTAATGGAAGGAGTGGTGAACGAGAGAACGATTTCCTCCATGAAGCTCGGCATGGGTTTAGGAAAGGCAGTTCGCGTACGGCCGATAGCAAGGGACATCTTGACACCCGACTTGGACCAAAAAGTACCGGTCTATTCTTTGATTTCTCAAAAGCTTTTGACAAAGTACCTCAAGTATACCTAATTGAGGTTGCGAAGATCATCTGCACTGATACACTTCTATAATTGCTGCGGAAATTTTTGTATTGAGGGAAATCTGAAGTGTTTGCTACTTATACGAACGATATAAGTAGTATAAGAATGGACGTGAAAGAAGTCTCACCCTCAGAACATGAAAACGGAAAGCAAATGGAGCAAAAGCATGCAGTAAATGGAGTACAAACAGGAAGGGAAGGAAACAACAGCGGGAATGGAAGAAGGATGGAGTATTGAAAGTCAGGATTCAAAGAGTGTTCAATGTAATGTTTTCGTTTTTAATTGACTCAGAGTGTAAATTTGCATAATACAATCTTCCGCGCCTGCCTCAGTCTTCTCGAATCGAGTCCTTGCGTGCCTCAACCTCAGGTGTTTCGCAAGGGCCTACCTCAGATCCAATCCTCTTCCTGATATTTATTAATCGCTTCTTAGATAAAATTAGCTCAGTGACGCGAAACCGTAGTCACTTCCATAGATCACTAGCTTATTCTATCTTGTTTGTTATCTCTGTTTCCTCTTCTTTGTTTACACTTCTGTCCTCTCACAGAATCTTCATTACCAGTTAAGTAATTTATTTATTTGTCCTCTTGGTCCTGAGATTTCCTCATCAGCGTTAGAATTTTCTCCTCATGATTCTCCCCACTGCAACTGAATGACCTCCAGCCTGTTAATTTGATGGTAGCTCGTATACAGAAACCTTGCTGCTCTGAGTCAAACGCAGTCACTTAACTCATGGGACATACCAATTCATGTTTAACTGTCAACTAACTAGAACTAATAGAACAAGAAGAGAATGCAAATAAATCAAATGAATTATACAATCTTGTGAGGAAGATATTGTATAGTGAAAAACTAACATAACTCAAATGCTCAAGGTCGTCCTAGAAATGCCTTGTATACGCAGCGGGCGATTAGGATCTCATGCTAAAATGTGAAATATAATGTGTTCTGCGAAAGTTACCGACGTGATCCCGGCCGTTTTCGCCTGGAGTCTTATAGTAGGTATTACCGCAGTCTACCTCGTCTTCATGTAACGCCTTACTTCCAAATAATACTTACTTTTAATTAGATGCTTCCAGTTCGCCGCAACGTACTCCTGGTCTATATTTGTTCTTCATTCTATTCTAGTTTTTTATGTAATATGCTGCCTAACGCGAACAACTTTCATGGACCCTGGTTATTTTCCTTTCGGTAGGTGATCATCTTTGTGCTTATTTCTCGTTAGCAACGGAAGGAGAGGCTGAATATGAGGAAACCAAGTCTGCTCCCGTTCATCGTGAATATAATATTAACGGAGTACTAGCGAAAGTCAAGTGGTGCAGTACATGTTTATTCTACCGTCCGCCAAGGTGTTCTCATTGTTCGATTTGTAACCGGTGTGTAGATGTAAGTATTAACCTAATTATTTTACTCCCTGGTAGACTTTTGATCATCATTGCCCTTGGGTTAACAACTGTATTGGAAGGCGAAATGCACGCTATTTCTTCATGTTCCTTATTTCGCTTACACTTCATATGATTGCTGTGTTTAGTATAACCCTCGCGTCACTACTACTCAATGAGCAGCCGCTTATCTTCTATACAAACATTGTACGGTATCCTTTGTGTTATTTGAATGTGTTATCACTCTTTTTGACCCTAATTTCTTTTCGTTTTCGCCCGCATAGGGACACTAGCATTACACAGGCTCCACTTAGTCTTGACTTTCAGTCCTGCTTCAGATCGCTGGACAGTCCTCGTTTCCATTATTTACCACATCTGTTAAAAACTTTTCTAATGACCAATGTCACTGAGAAATCGGTTGCGTATGGTGACAACACCGGTAATGGAGTGCTGTAGCAGGATGAATTAATGGTCATTTTAGTCTGACAGCAATTCTAGTGTGTCAATAGGCTTGTTAAATTGTCTTAAATGTTAGCACATAAACGTGTGATTGGTTATTTTTGTGAGAAGTAAGATCTGCGTTTTTTCGTCTAATACGTTTGACTGCTATTGTCAGTTTTTTTAGGACCAAAATTTTCAAGGAATTATGTTTTGATTGATTCATGTCTTCATGTGCTAAACATCTCCGTGTTGTGTATAAATGATATATGGTTTTTTCGACAAGTTAGCCGCTTTGTACTTATTTTCTAAGAGATCGAGTTTAGCCTTATAAGTTTCTTCTCGAAATTTCGGCGCTGAATTCCACTAAACCTCAAGCGTTATATAATCTTCATTTTTCTGATAAAATGTAAAAACCAAACAATAAAATTTAATGTTTATTATTTCTGTCTAATTGGCAGGAAGTGTGGTCAGATCTGACATGTTCTCTGTTATTACGTTTGATTCAATATTGCTTATTTTACTACCTTAACTCAGTGTTATAGAATCATTACACTTTCTCTAGTTGGTCTAAGTTTTATTCCGGTTTTTGGACTGACTTCATTCCATGTATATCTGATATCCCGCGGAATGACAACCAATGAACAAGTTAGTTGTTTTTCAATATTTTTTTAAAACCGTTGTACATTTTATGTTTCCTTTTAGTAAAAAATAGCATTTTTGTTTCGGAAGTAGTTGGCAAGGTTAGAAAGTGTAGTGTTCTTCGTTACGACTTGGAATTTTTCAGTGAACCAAACAACGCACAGATAATAGTATTAATTGCGATTATTTTGTTAATATACTGAAATATTTTAATGAATCCTTTTTAGTCCTTTTTTGAGGGAATCACACTTCTCTACCAAAACTGTTAATGCTTTTCATAAAATCAAACTGTCAAGCATTTACTCCCCACCTTATCAAACCAATATGCAAGGTATCTCAAAAATAGTCAAGATTAAGTTTTTAGAATTGGCGAGTTTTTATTTTTGTTGTATATCTGATCCATGGGGTAAGGTGACATGTGACACTTTTAGCGTCGACCTTTTCTAATCCTTTCCTTCTGTTGTGAAGAGGGAGTGTAACTGCAGATGCTGGTTGTCTGGGCGAAACACGTCTCTCTACATTCAGCAATGTGACTTCTCCCTCAGACTTTAAATTTCTGCTTTTGGTCTTACTGTTCCCCACACGATCTGCCTGGCATGGTAGGACCTAAAGGAACGTACGTTCGAGCCAATATAATTCAGTTGAGTGATCACGATAGGCAAGCCCGACTAGTACGTCAAGGTAGCAGCTAAGGTCGGGAAGTGACCGCCGCTTCCGAGTGGGCTCAAACCGCCGATCTTCCTGTTGAAGACCTTACCTGGTTTTGATAGTAGAATGATGTCTCTGTAGTTCTCACACTTGCTAAAATATTTTTTGGCATCTTGATGAGGCATCCTTCTTCACGGTCTGTTGGCACTTGTTTTTTATGGATCTTTCTGAAGAGAGTATAGAGTACTTTTCGAGTTTTTGCTGTGTTTGACTTCAGTGCCTTATCTGGAATGTTGACTTGTCCTGCTGCATTGCCACTCTTGATTTGTCTGATGGTCATGCTGATTTCTTCCATTTTTGGTGGGTTAACATCAATTGGGGGGATCTGTAGGCGCTGCTTCTATGTTGGATGGGTTTAGTAGGGGTGCTCTATTCAAAATTTCTTCAAAGCGCTCTGCCCACCTATTTCACTCTTCTTGAATGTTGGTAGTTGGTTTGCACTCCTTCCTCTTGAATGACATGGCTCAAAATCGTTCGCAATGGCGCCGGTGCATTTATTCTTTGTGTTCTCTCAAATCCTAATCTTCTGGATTCTTCAACACCTCTAGTTTTGACTTTCTAAACTTTTCTCACTGAATCATATTTCTTGAATATCTTCTAATCCTAACCTCTCCGATTACTTCTAATTCCCTTACTACGTCTACTACTATTGGATTTGAATTGACAATTATATCTCTGTGCTGATGTGGTATGGCAACATGAACTGATGTACTTACGTACGAAGTTCCACGTTGCATCTGACTGACTGACTTCTTCCTCTGGACTGGTCGTTCTGGTTCACTGCATTTTCCAGAGAGCTTCATTGTATCGTATGGTTGTCTCATGTTTCCGTTATCATTGCTAAACCATCCACAAATGTCCACTCACTAGCTTTAATTCTCCTCTTTACTTGCTTGTTTTCTTCTGTTTATTCAGCCTGTGCCTTCCCCTTCTCTCCCCTCATTTGGCTACTATTGGTTGCTGTCTTCCTGTTCTTCCTCTCCTGGATCTTATCCATAGTATCGACATACATCCATTGCTTGTGATGATAGTTCTTGTGATCCAAAACCTCACGACATGCTGAAGTTATTTCTTCTTTGATCCCCTTCCAGTTGTCCTCCATGGTAGTTTCCCCTTCATCGACTTGATCATCAAAGGTTTGGAACTTATTTAGAGAGATACGTTAAGTTTGTCAGTATCTGGAAGAATGGCCGTATTAAACGTTTGCGATGTTGTCTGCCCCGTTGTCCAGCGCTCCTTCAGTTCCAGCTTCATTTTTGTCACTACCAAGTGGTGATCTGAAGCCGCCGGCTCCTCTCTTGGTTCTGACATCTTCCATAGTCCTTCTGAACTTTTTATTGAAGCAGATGTAGTCTATTTAGTTCTCTGTAGTGCGGTTTGTTGAAACCCATGTCACCTATAAACGTTTTGTTGAAGATAGATTTATGTATCTTTCACCATTTCCGTTCCTTTCTTCCAGTCTACGTCGTCCCACGATGTCTTCGTATCCGGTGTTGTCCATTCCAACTTTGGCGTTTAGGTCTCCCATCAGAATAGTCAAATCCTTTGTTAGGCACTTTTCGATGATTGAATGCCGCCTCATAGAATTGATCTTTACTGTTTTCATTGTTATCATCGGAGGTGCATAGCACTGAATGGCATTCATTGTAATCCCCCCCCCTTTGTCTTGAAGGTTGCTTTGATAATCCTGGGCTCATGTTATTACCACCCTATAAGTGCTTTCCGTGCTATCTATTTGTGCTATATTTTGTCCCTTTTATGCCGCATCGCTTATGCAGTAGTCATCTATTGGGTGCAACATGTTTCTGCTATTCTAATTTCTCATAATTAAATATCCCTTGTTATAAATATAAATGTACATGTATAATATATTAATTACTCAAGTTTATCAGTAGTAATTTGACTTGTTACTTAACTGTTAATCAACTTTCAATGATTTATTCTTTAAAATGAATATGGTTATCTACTTCTTATACCATAAAATATTAAGTCATTTTTACTTCCATGAATATTTAATCAGTTTCATTAATTTTAGTACACTAACAAATTCGTCCTGACTATAGCTTCCACCGTGATTTGGTGATTGGGCTTACCTATCTGTATCATTGAATTAAGCTATACTAAACACTCATTCCTCCACGTTCTGTCACACCAAATAGATTGGTTGAAAAACGGTCAGTCAGTTACAACGCAGAACTTCGTACATGAGTACATAAGTTCAGGTTGCCATTACCTCACCAGCACTTAGACGCGACTGTCAGTTCAAATCTAAGAGTGATAGCAATAATAGAAGTATTAGCAGTAATGGAGAAGACTAGGGAGCGGAGATATGATTCGAGAAGTATAATTCAGTAAGATAAATTTAGAAGGAGAAAGGTAGAGATTATGAGGAATGCAGAAGCTTAGAATTTCATAGATAACAAAGAGTGGATGCACCTGAGCCATTGCAAACGATTCTGAGCCATGTCGTTCAAGGTCTCTAACCATCGGTGACTTTCGTCTCGCGGACCCCAACCAGATAGCCTACATCTACCAACATGACTCAGTCCACTTGTCAGTGACTTCATGGATTTCTGCCATGTTTTGGTTTGGCTGCCCCATAGCTTTCTTTCAACCTACTCCTAAACCACAAAACATCGCTCGTCGAGGCAGCCGGTAGTTGGGCATACGTAACACATGTCCCAACCACCCCAACTGATGAAGTTTTACTACTTCATATATTGATCTGCCATCCCTACCTGGAACTCGTTTCCTAACAACAGCATAAATATTAAGAAGGATTCAAACCTATGACAAATGTATTCGTGCTGAGATTTCGTCAGGGTTGAAGGAAAGTAAGACTAACAGTTGTAACTAAACGTGAAGTCGTACTACCCACTGCACAGGATTATGACGCTAGTGAACTGTTTCCTTCCGATATCTATCCAATATCTACAGCGATGCTACCTTCTAACAGTCGATAGAATGGATTTAAAGACGGTGATCCTAAGAGTGTCATATCTCACTTTATCTTTTAGATTTCCATCGCTAGTGATATGACCTTAAAAGTACTGAACCAACACATTAAAAACCCACGGAAATGCCATACATGATCTCTTGGGCTTTTTTGTCATGCTCCCAGGTTGTTGAGACCATTGATAAACCACTTTCCTTTTTATATCCTTCAAGAAGAAATTTCCAATCGTATCTCTTATACTTAATCTTCCCTATTACCACATACTACTGTTGTGACATTTTACTGTGCTAATACAGTATCTTGAATAATGTACACATGTCACAAGTTCTACATTGCATATAACCAACTGAATTGACTCATCATAGTATTTAGTACAAAATCCGATTTTAATTAGTAATTTTAATCAATATTCAGTTAATAACTTATGATTCATTTTTTTACTTTAACGATAAATTATATCATTGTTGTACTTGACCATCTTGGATAAGTGAACTGTGTGCGTGTGTGTGTGATTTATGATGGTTCATTTATGAATGATATGTCAACGATAATACACCAGTAAGCATGACTATTGTTGAATATCCTAGTTTTAGTTGGACTTTATACAGTTAGTTACTTTGTAAAATCAACTAAGATCGGTATTCTATCTAAATCATTATCAAAATGCAGAGTCTTCCGACTACCATAAGCAACAATGCTAACATGTTCGGGATGCGGTTTTCCCCCTCGAAATGCAAAATGTTGCTTCAAGACTGGGTTGCATTGGCACCTGAACTAGTGATAGGGAGTGAAGTAGTCGAGCGTGTTGATCACTTCACTTATCTGGAGAGTCTCATCAGTGCTGACGGTCTGGTGACTGACGAAATCTCAGCTCGGATACAGAAAGCTCGATTGGCTTTTGCCAAGTTGCGTCACTTATGGCGTAGGCGTGATATCCGTTCGATAACCGAAGGGCGGGTGTACTGCGCAGCAGTTCGTTCCGTTCTCTTATATGGCTGTGAAACATGGCCGTTAAGAGTAGATGTTCGTAGGTTACTAGTATTCGATCGTACATGTTTAAGAAGCATTGCTCGTATGTCGTGGGACAACAGAGTAAGCAATGCTGTCGTTAGCAAATGAGTACTAGGTAAGAATGGCAGATCAATAGATGAAGTGGTGAACCTTCATCAGTTGAGGTGGTTGGGACATGTGTTACGTATGCCCAACCACCGACTGCCTCAACGAGCTATGTTTTGTGGTGTAGGAGTAGGTTGGAAGAAAGTTAGGGGCGGCCAGACCAAAACATAGCAGAAATCCATGAAGTCACTGACAAGTGGACTGAGTCATGTTGGTAGATGTAGACTACCTGGTTGGGTTCCGCGAGACGAAAGTCATCAATGGTTTGAGACCTTGAACGACATGGCTCAAAATCGTTTGCAATGGTGCAGGTGCATCTACTCTTTATGTTTTCTGAAATCCTAATCTTCTGGAATAGTCAGCACCTCTACCTTTGTCCTTCTAACCTTATCTCACTGAATTATATTTCTTGAATAATATCTTCGAACCCTAGTCTTCTTCATTACCATTAATACCTCTACTATCTTTATCACTATGAGATTTGATTTGACATTTGAGTCTCTGTTCTTATGTGTTATTGCAACATGAACTTATGTACATACGTACGAAGTTCTACGTTGCAACTGACTGACTGACTGACTGACATTATCATTGCTTGTAAAAATTATTGCCAAAAACTTTTAAATTGTGTCGATAATTTATTCATAAATGATATTTTTCTTTGTTTACATAGTTACCGTTATAATTATTATTTTTTTTATTATCATTATACCTTTTTTTTCGCTCCAACCAGGTTACAGATAAATTTCGTGGACTATTAAATCCATTTACATTGGGTTGTTTGTTAAATTGGCGAAGGTTTTGTTGTGAACCTCAATTTCCTCGGTGAGCGTTTTTAAAAGTGTTTAAATTCTTCTATCTATCTATGAATGAATAAAATACTATTGATTTATCACTTGGTAGTGGTAACCAGTATCATGTTAGTCTAATTCTATTAGTGTTAATCAAACGTTATTGCCGGCCCAAATAGCTCAATGGTAACATCTCAAACTGTAAATTTGGATGTGACAAGATCAAATCTACCAAGAAGCACCATAACATCCGGATCCATAAAATATTTATAAGAAAGATTTTATGTGTTGATAATCTTTTTGGTATCGTCAATAATTACAGATAATTTCTGTCAGTTACTTTTCCCTCTAAGTTTTTAAACTGAAGTCTCTTCCGTTGTGATTATGAACCTACCTAGATTATAGTACCATTTAAAACCAGATAGCATTAAACAGCTGTTTTACTATAGTATGCGACTCTTTAACAGTGGATGCTGAGTCTGAACTAGATTCCAACTGTAGGTTTTCACCAGTTTTAATGGCTACCTACCCTCAACCATCCTCTGACTTGATGCCAAATGCTAAACAGATGTTACAATAGGTTGGAAAAAAGCTAGATGCTACTAAATAAAAATAAAATTATTTCATGAAGACTCTGTGTTATGTTCGTCACTAGGTACGCTTGAAACTATTACGAGTTCACCTTAGTCGATAAACGCGAACAAGACAATTACCAGCGTGCATGTAGGCTACCTTGAATCCCAAGCTGTAAAACAGAAATCTTGATAAGCGTAGAAAGTATATTCTACAAACACCCAGCAATCACAATACAATCAAGCACACAACTCTCTTTTATTTATACATCATAGAAACTTCATTGGAACAGTTATGAAAATAGCACAGTAAAATACACAGCATCCAATCACAGCCATGGATTTTCCTGGTGGGAAATGAAATCTCAAGGTCAACTGATCAGCCCATGCTCGCAAACGTGAAATCCAAAATAAGGCATTTATCAAGCGAGTTTTGGGGATCTAACATCCCCAACACTCTGGTCTAAACTGTCTGTGTTTATACAAACTATCAGATATTATTCTACCCGTATAATTATGATGAATGGTTAAAAAGAGCTCAAGTGATATGACTGTAAACCCAGTTTCGGTAACAAAGATTCACATCTATCACAATTTACCATGTTGATTTTGTGTCTGTGATCTGTTAGATAGAAAAACTTATTCTTTTTGTTACTGGTTTTGTTTTTGGTCATTACTAACCGACCGAAAAGGATAGAGGAGCATCTCCTAACTTTCTCTCAACTTACTCCCACTCCAACTATTTCTTGTATGCTCAGCTAGTAGTAGTAGTAGCTTGTGGTTAGACCATGCTTAATTGTTACGTTTTATCTATCACAGTCAATGAAGATTCACAATCTCATCCATCTTCCAATTTTCTACTTTCGCTTAACAATCTATGATGCCTAATTGTAGCAGTGTTGACTTCATTGCCCCCTAGACATATGAGCAATTCTCTGAGATATTATTATTGATTGTAAAATAATTTTCAATGCATTTCTATCTTTAGAAGAAAAAAAAACATCTTTTTTTCCACCTACATCGTTGTTACAACTAGTGTAGACTAGAGACTTTTTTTTCCATTCAATTTGAATAATACATAGATAGTAAGTAGTGTGTACGTCATTTTGTACGTCAATAAATCAGTGCTATTTGCCAATTTGCAAAAAAAAATACTGTATGATTATTATTATTATTATTATTATTATTGATAATTATTGCATATTTCGATAACTGTAATCGAATTCATGGAATGCAATGTAACTGGATTATTTAGGTACAAGTTTATGCACACTCCTCCCACTTTGGAGTTATATTTCTTGTATTGAGGTCTAATAATGTATTTGCGGTTCATTAAACAAAACTATGATTCTTACTACTACTGTGGTGTGAGCTACTTATAAGTAGTATATGACATGAGTGTCAACGTAATGCCTGGCAGCAGAAGATGGGGGAAGATCAAGAAAGGAAGAGTTAGAACACAATGGAATTTCTATGAAACGCATGAATAGTGACAATGGATTGATGTTTGGCAACAGGAACAGTCCAGTTCGATATGATGAACTGATATTGTGCAAATGAACGATTTACGGTATGGTTTTCCAATTTTACTGAGTAACTCTGTAATTTTCGTTAAATACAATCCGGTTGCCCCACCTGTGTTCTCCTTTACTACACTACTACTACTACTTTCGTTAACTGACTATTATGTTCTGCGACTCGATTCCGTTACAACTGACACTTCTTTTTGTATACCAAACCGACTGTATGCAAATTAGCCTTCCGACCTTCACGAAGGTATTTATAAGATGAAATGAATGCCTACATAATCGATTCGCATCACATAGCAAGCCTCATCCACCTCTTGACTTTGAAATATCACGTGAATAAGCGTTATGTATTGGTATATCAATACTTTCATAGTTTATAATTAACTACCCTAAGTTTTTTTTGGCCTAGATCCTCTTCACAAACATGACTGAATGGTTTTTTTAAAGTTCCATTGTGGGAGTTGCCATGCATTGCATGCATGATAGATAGGAAACAAGTATTGTATATAAATGTAATTGAATTTATACATTAAATTGCATGTCTAATCTAAAAAAAAACAATTTTCTGTCTTTTTTTTCTTATATTTCCTAAAACTCTGTACCTGTCCAATAGTCGTTATTTGGAAGTATATCCAACCAAATCCCGTCGTACTGGATGTGTTAAATTGAAAAAAAACAGATTTAACAAATTCAATCATTTCACAATTGTTAGTGGTGGTTCTGGTGCTGCCGAGTTGGCAGATGATTCCATAACCAATACATATGCAGAATCAAATCATAAACTACTCATGGATCATCATCATATGCATAGTAGTACAACTGCCAGTAGTACTACTACTAATCGTCATTACAATACTGACAATTATACTATGCTTGATAGTATTGATACTAAACTATCCACTATTAATAATAATCCATTTTATAATAAAAAACCAATTGGTGGAGGAAAATATGTCTACACTGTAAACATTCCACAAGATTCTTCACATCATCATCAACTTCGACAACCATTAACAACAACTAGTCAACAAGATCAAAGTAGTAGTATTCAATCAACTAATAATCCATTGATACCACGTGGACCATTAGTTCATGATAATGAAGAACCATTATCTTCAATTATTCATAATTTAACATCAGGTCGTAATACTGTGACAACAACGCCAATAACACTAACATCAACAACAACAATAGCAACAACTACTACTACAACATCGACTAGAAATAATCATAAATTAGAAAGTAATAATGATGCTTGTTCAATGAATGAACAAAATCTACCATCCACAAATACTAGGGTAGGTCAAACTGGATTTATATTCGTTTATTTCTTGTATGTTTTTCTCACTTTTATCGGTTTATTGCTGATATCCATACACACACATATTCCATACTTTATTGTATGATTATACAATCTAGGTTTATTAAGGATATTCGCTTTTTGATGAAATTCAAGACACAATAATCTTATTTTTTTTCTCCTTCAGACACACCCAATTTTAGTTAATCTCTCTGTTTCATATTGCCTTTCTATTTGCTTAAAAACATGTTTAAAAGTATTTAGATGTTAAGTTTGATGGTGGTTAACTTGTTATTATTTTATCATAGACTACTTTTCCTAATCCAATTCATTAACAAGTAGTAATCACTTGGACAATAGTGGATTTATACAAATGACTCCATAAATTCGATATTTTCAACTATCTTACCTTTGTGTCATCATCACCCTTGGTCCACCTGAAAAATGATGTTTTCATCTGTCTGTGTGTGTGTGTGTGCGTATTTCTATAGATACATGTCAATGCTTTATTAATATCAATCAACAAATTAATGCTTAGTTTGCGTATATCAAGGTTGTAGCCCGACCATAGCTGCTATCTTGTTGTGGTGGTCGGGTTTGCCTATCATGGTAACCCAACCGAGCTATATTGGCTGGAACATATGTTGCTGTAGGTTCTACCATGCCACCAGACAGGTCGATTGGAGAACGATGATACTAAAAGCAGCTACTCAATGTCTGGGGGCGAAGTCGTACTGCTGACTGTAAAGGTGTATGACAACAGTAAGGTGTTTCTTTCGAACCACTAGTATCTTCAGCGATCCTGCCTTGTCACAAGGAAAGAAGGGTTAGAGAAAAGATCGACCCTAAAAATGTCACACCTTACCTTACATCTGCAAATTTCCGTCTCTGGCGGTAAGGGCTTTTAAACAAGAATGGAACTAACAATTTGAAAACTTCTGACAAGAAGGCCGTGCGTGAATGGCCTCAAGCAGTTATCCCTTGGACTTTGCGATCACGCTCCCAGGTCTCTAAGACCAACGCTGAACTACCTTCCTTTTCAGGTTCTTCAAGAAACACCCTCCCACGGTGTGGGCAGCCGGAAAGTGACATCTGCCCTCATACCCGCAACAGCACATGATTTTAGGCTATATGTGTTAAAGTTTTCAATCAAACAGTATTAAACTATCATCTTTCATCATATTGTTCAAATTCTAATTAATCTCAGCTTATTTAACTTTTTTAATTTATTGTCTAATTAATTGTTTTTGGCATTTAGATTGACTAAATGAGAAGATGAAATAGTGAATTCGATTAATAATTAAAATTAAGTAGATTCGTATATACTTAGTTTTAAGCCACTGAATGAGTTGGATTTAAGAGGTAGAGGCACGGTGCTTGTATTCAAAAGAACACTAGTTGTATAAAAGTCAACTGCTTTAAGCTATCACCTCCAAATTCCATGATATTTTCTTAATTGGTATTTTGATCAATCCGCGTTTTTTTTCCAACAGATGATTCATTTTTATTATTCGTAGTTCAATTGTGAAACTATCTACCTGATAATTGTCAAATTAATCAATGATTTTTTTTATTGAAGTGTCAAATTGTATGCCTCCAAACATTTTTAATTGAATGAGTGAATGAATGAGTGGTTAAAATGATAGTATGTGAAAGATGCATAAGTTTTCCTATCTAGATTTCAGCTAATGGAATTTTACCGCCAGGGTATTTAATTTGATCTCTAGATCAAACAATATTAATAACTGAAATCCCAAACTGATCTTAGTTAAGCCGTCATTAAAATCTAGGAGGCATTAGAAAGCTGTCCCGTCCTATTTATTATAAAACTCTTCAGCATTGCTTGTCCAGTGTCTCTTGCCACAGGGGATCAAACGTGGGATCTTCGGTTTCACACACAAGCCCTTAACCTTCATGAGGGTTCAACTACGCTTTGAGTAAGACATTTATCCACCATGTGTAATGGAATATCATTCCAAAATATCGTGAACTGGTTGAAATTAGACTTGTACACCATGTGATGGTGGTCCATTAGCTCAAAGTTTAAGGTTTTGCTCGCGATACTAAAGTTCTTGGAATCGCTTCTCTGTAATAGAGTGGTGGATGTAAAATGCTGAGGGGTCCTCTGCTGGAATAAAACAGCTGTCCAACACCTCGAGAATTTGAATGGTGATTACAATTAGTTCGTAATTTAAACTTTGAAAGTTCTACAATATTAATGAAGCAGAGATGGATTGGGGGGCAGCAATAGAATCCAGGACACGCGCTTCGTCCAATTTGGGATTCGTCGACTGAATGCACCTTCATCCTGGAGTTGGTTTTCATCCAGGACTCGAGTCCAGTACCGTCTGTTTCAAACACCATCGTATCATCCGCTTAGCTACTAAGTCCAGACAGACACTCCTTTCTAATAGATAAAATCCTATACATTTCTTAGCAAAAATACTTTTCTTAATTTGAACAAGTAAAAAATGTCACTACTAAACATTGTATACAGCTTTAATTTATTTGACAAATAATAGAATTTTCGGTCAAGTTAAAATCAATATATATATATATATATATAAATGCTCGTTTCCTTTACAAGCCTTTTAATTTCCTAAAATAAACTAATTTCATGAGTAGTAAGTACTTCATTATTTTAAATTAATGATTAATTAGGCGTGCAACTATTTGTATGAATGCATCCACAATGTTCTTGAAAATTGTACGAACAAAGTTATTTTTTTCATAAAATCAATAATTCGAGAGCGTCTTTAACAATGAAAAAAAATCGCATAATTTATGTAGATTTGGCGGGAGAAGTTCTACAAAATTCATTCAAAAAACGTTTGAGTTTTTCGACTATCCATTTATCTCTATCAAAGAATTAATAAAATTTGTTTAAAATATAATCCACTCATTAAGGACTTGATGGTTTTAGTAGTTATTTTAATACAAATGCTCTATTGTCCCATAAAATAAATTTTCTCTGTGGATAAAAGTTCTGCTAAGTATTCAATTTACATTTGAAATCATGAATCGATCAAAGCTAGACCACCATTAGAAACCTGGAAGCACTGGACGGCCGTATCGTCCTGGTACGGGACTCATCAGCAGTGCACATCCACGACTACTGCACCTCGTAGGAAGTCGTGACCAGTGAAGTTCAACCTGTTCGGGTGTAGATAGTAACTACCGAAGACAGTGTATGCGGTTGCGCAACTCCGTGAATTGATCGAAGTTAGACATTAACACCGTTAGATGTCGGCCCGGTGGTCCGGAGTTTAGGCGTTCGTGCGCAAGACGGAAGGTCCTGACCTGCGGGGTGCAGGAGTCGTGGATGCGCACTGCTGATGAGTCCCATACCAGGACGAAACGGTCGTCCAGTGTTCCCAGGTTTCTAATGGTGTTCTAACTGTCATCGATTCATGATTTCAAATGTGTAACTAAATAATCTTCACAACTCCATAATGCATATTCAATTTACATCATACTTTTATACATCTAAATGTCTTGATAACACATAAATCACTAATGTATCCATTTATGGAAAGAAACATTCGCTTTTACATAAAAAATTGGTTGATTCATCTTTTAGCTTAGCTTATTAACTGGTTCATGATTATTAATGATAGAAGTGTTTCATGTTCAGTATGACAATTTCACTAGAATTCTAATATATATATATATATATATATATATATATATATATATATATATATATATATATATATATATATATATATATATATATATATATATATGAGCGATTCTATTCTAACCTTAAAAATAAAATGTCACAGTGGTTCAATTAGAGATTTGAAAATTCAATTGAATAGTTTTCAACAACTAACGTACACAACTGTTCATTTTTCTTTGATTCTTAATGATTCTTGTTAATCACATTTAAATGTCCATTAAAATAATTCTATCCAGGTTATTTTCTACTTTTCTAGTATACAATTAAGTAGTGTTTATAAAATTTTTTTAATTGAATAATACGTATGTCATTCATGTAAACAGTACTTTAAAAATATCCTTAATAAGTTGGACAATGCTTTTCGTATATCAGATATTGATTTAGTTAGCTGTGGAATCTAGGCTACATATTTCATTCTATTCTATTTGGCATTCGTCGTTTGGTTGTGTATCTCCATCTCCGTGTTGATACCTACATTGAAACTTGAATCTAGTGACTTTCGCCTCAAATACTAACATCTTGTCAATTGAGCTAATGAGTTCAGACAGTATGAAGATATTAGTAAGGATTGGTAGTTTACTATAATTAGTGTTGAAGAGTGACATTGATCAATCTCTATAGCTCACTAGATAACAAACATGTTGGTGTTTTTGAAGCAAAAGTAACCAAAATTCAAGTTTCTGGGTGTGTATCAACTGTGGGATACAAGCATGTCATCAGTGCTGATAGCCTGGTGACTGACGAAATCTCAGCGCGGATTCAGAAAGCTCGATTGGCTTTTGCCAACCTGCGTCACTTATGGCGTAGGCGTGATATCCGTTCGCTAACCAAAGGGTGGGTGTGCTGCGCAGCAGTTCGTTCCGTTCTCCTATATGGATGTGAAACACGGCCGTTAAGAGTAGATGTTCGTAGGTTACTAGTATTCGATCATAGATGTTTAAGAAGCATCGCTCGTATGTCGTGGGACAACCGAGTAAGCAATGCTGTCGTTAGGAAACGAGTACTAGATAAGAATGGCATTTCAATAGATGAAGTGGTGAACCTTCATCAGTTGAGGTGGTTGGGACATGTGTTACAAATTGCCTAACCACCGACTGCCTCGACGAGCTATGTTTTGTGGTGTAGGAGTAGGTTGGAAGAAAGTTAGGGGCGGCCAGACCAAAACATAGCAGAAATCCATGAAGTCACTGACAAGTGGACTGAGTCATGTTGGTAGATGTAGGCTACCTGGTTGGGGTCCGCGAGACGAAAGTCATCAATGGTTAGAGACCTTGAACGACATGGCTCAAAATCGTTTGCAATGGCGCAAGTGTATCCATTCGTTGTGCTCTCTCAAATCCTAATATTCTGGATTGGTCAGCACATCTACCTTTGTCTTTCTAACCTTATCTCACTGAATTGTTCTTCTTGAATAATATCTTCAAACCTTATTCTTCTTCATTACCATTAATACCTATACTATCTTTATCACTATGGAACTTTATTCGACATTTGCATCTGTGTGCTAATGTGGTGTTGCAACATGAACTTATGTACATACGTACGAAGTTCTACGTTGCAACTGACTGACTGACAAGCACGTCCAGCTAACAAGCTTCAAATAGAACGAAACGCGCTTTATGGATTCATTTGATAACCATACCAAATAATCTGAAACTTATAACGAATGGCTGGTTTATAAAAGCAATCCTCTTAGGATCTAAATATAACAAGAGATCGATCAATTTGACTTTCGAATATTCGCAACAGGAAATTACAAACTTTTACTCATTATTAGGATAAATTGTTTGTGTGAAGTAGTGGCTAAGTAGTAAAATGACTTGATTTTTTATCATTAAGTTGCTGGCACGTAGCTAAATTTCATCTACTTTGAGTCGAGGGGCCTGATAGCATTGTGGTGTGTACCTCTAACAACGGAGCTTATAAGTAGTATGCAGTAGATGTACAGCAGAGTGAAGTTACGGACGAAGCAGAGAGTGTTGTGCCCATATGAGTAGCGCGATAAGAATGTTTTAAAGAGTAGAAGACATATCAAAGAAAAAGTCAAAGAAAAGACTTGTTTTGCAGATGGATGCTTTATGATAAGGTTGTGCACTTATTACCTAGTAGATTGTCTTCAAATAAGCTGATTATCCCATCTGGTCTTCCATCTTTTTTCATTAAAGTATCACTAGCTGTCACATAAAAGCGTGTTTATCAACGATGAGTACACAAACACAACCTTTTTAACTGAGATACACCACTAAAAAATACAGTTTTTTTACTTTTGCGACCTACCTCACTTGGTTTGCCAGTCGTTACTCCATTTACCTGACAGTGATCATCCGTTAAGTAAAATGGGTTATTTAAAGTTATCATTCTATCATAATATTTTTGTAGCTGTTTCTTCAGTTCAAATTTATCAGAGCTATTACGACCAAGGAGATATTAATGATATAAGAGGGGAAACCTAGCACGATAAACATTGATTGACTCGTGATTTTAATTAAATTCAAAAATTTCTACAACCCTGAATGATAATTATTATGTGCTCACTAGTGACTAGCTCCGTGATAAGTCATGACCAGGGGAGTTCAACCCTGTCGGGTGTGAGCCAGTTACCCACCGAAGACAATGGGTGAGGTCGCGCAATATCGCAAACTAATTGAATTTATATACCAACACCGTTCGATACCGGCTCAGTGGTCTAGGGATCAGGCGTTCGCGTGCAAGACCGAAAGTCCTGAGTTCTGTTCCCGCGTGTGAGTGTCGTGGGTGCGTATCATCTGGTGATGTCGCTTGGAAGAACCACAACTAAAACATCCAGGTCGGAGAATGAAACTCCACCGCAACTAAGTCCCGGGTTCAGTCTATACTCCTACCTACTTCGGTTTGGGCAATCGACTGATATTATTGGACCTCAAACCCAGAATATGACTCATAGCTCTATGTGCCTGATAAACTTCACTCTCCATGATTAGTTTTTCCTACGATCATTGATACTCTTTATCATTTCAACTTCTTTGCTATATATCTGATTGATTTCAACTCACTTGAATGATTTAATGTGTTAAGTTTAACCAATACACATTCCTATCATGTCCTACATCGATTATGACTGATTAACTAACACAAATGAATACGTATGTCTGTGGATTGTTGACTTTTAACTTGTAACTGCTTAGTTTTACATTGACACTGTCAAACTTGGCTATATTTGAGAGTTTTTGCATAGCCTGATAGTATCTTTAGCTGTCACATGATAAGTATAATTTATATACCCTTAAGGTCTATTCTGTAGAGCTAAACCAGTATAATTTCCTAAAATTATTCCATGAATACGACGTTCTTCATTTACCCATTTAAAAACTAGTCAAAGTATTATGAAAACCATTGTCATCAGTATAAATAATATTTCAACCTGTAAAGGGATTCATTTCACTTAAAAAAAGAAGAATTTAAGTTCACTGTGTAAACGCTACTTTTCGAATGATTTACCTACATCTGATCTCATGAAGTTCACATTTTATCATAATTCATTCCTTTCTCTGCTTACATTTTTTTTCACTACCACAAACGACAATACACTACTGCTTCCAACTTTTTACTTACTATTCATCTTGTATATTGATATGCTGTGAAACAGCTTATTATTTATGTCTATACATATTGGTTATTACGAAAAATTGATTAGATTGCTCAGATTACTACTAACATTATTAGATACCGGTTACATTCAACTCACTTATCAATTCTTTATTTTATCAACAACTAGATATCAACCATAGAATAAGTTTTTTTGACACAAATACAAGGGAATCTGTAAATGAAATCAAAAGTGAAATGAATTTTACGGCGAAATAGTCCCTTATATTTAGTTTCGTTGGATATGTCTGTCTTCTATCACTGACCAATCATAAGACACTACAATTGAATAATGTTCAATTTGTGCCAGATAGACAGGACTTTAGTTTGGGGTTGAACTAATCAGATTTAAGATAAAAAGTCTTTGATTTTTTGGCTGAAATTTCATTCAACCATATATATGGCTCATGATCGAAACCCCAACTCTAATTTGCTATTTTATATTCAAACTCTCGTTATCTTAATTCTTCACACTAATTCTTAATTTTATTCCCACCCTATCAAATGGTTGGGGTTTTTTTTAAAACCATCTTAATATCCCTCAAAGTTCGTCTTATTTGCTTACAAAATATTCATCCGGAATTAAGCCTATAGTTAATCATATAAGCTCATTCCATGAAAAAGATGTATGTGAAATGAATGAGAAACTTTCCCTATTCCCATTCATCTTTTTTCTTATTTTTAGCCATCTGCTGATTCACTTGGTACTTTAGACAGTGTATATCAAGCACATCATCAAAATTCATGTAATAATAGCTGTAAAGTATTAGCAGACACTGCCAGTATTAGTCTTTCAGGTTGGAGTGAAGATGCAGTTTCTCTTAAAACATTAGATCGTCTTATCGGTATAACACGTCACCATCCAACAACTGTAGGAAACGACAGTGCAGTCGCCACAAATGTTGGCGGTGGGGTGGTTGGTGGAGGAAGTAGTGGTCCAACTTATTTAAATATTGAGCGTATTCAAGAAAATGGTGAATCAGTGATTGATTCTTCAACGTCTGTTCTAGACCGAAATATTTCGATTGACCAAGATTCGACACATTTGTTCAATTTTAATTGTTCACATATAAACGGTTATTTGAATACAATACCTACTTCTACAGCTGATTCAGTTAGTCAACATCTTGCACATACACTACCTCCATATCAACAAAATATTGTACGTTCGACTGGTGAGGTAGGTTAATAAAATTGTTAGTTGTTTTTTTTTCATATTACTGTAAGGATTTTGTTGAGATTGTCAATCATGGATAGAAACAATCGTTGAAAACCAGGAAGCACTGGTGCGCACTACTAACGAGTCCTATATATTAAGACAAAACAGTTGCCTAATGCTTTCTAGTTTTGAATAGTTGCTTATCTAAGATTAGTTCGTAAAAATTACTTCACAGCATGGAAAGTTTAATTAATGTCGAAGGTCATTATGATCAAAATTTTCATTGGGTAATAGACCTGCCTAACATTCATCTAAATTACACATTTTTTGAAACCATGAACCGATCAATGTTCGACCACCATTAGAAACCTGGAAGCACTGGACGGCCGTTTCGTCCTGGTATGGGACTCCTCAGCAGTGCGCATCCACGACTCCTGCACCCCGCAGTATCCGAACTCAGGACCTTCGGTATTGTGCGCGAACGCCCTAACTGGTAGACCACTGAGCCGGTATCTTACGATGTTAATGTCTAACTTGATCAAATTCACGGAGTTGCGCAACCTCATACACAGTCTTCGGTAGTTACTGTCTACGCCCGAACAGGTTGAACTTCACTGGTCACGGCTTCCCATTAGAACTCGGAAAAGATTCCTCACGAAGCTAATCACTAGTGAGCACAGGTAATTTGCATTACGAGGTTGTGAATATGGTTAAGTTACACATTTTTTTTGAAACCATGAACCGATCAATGTTATACCACCATTAGAATGGATGTGCACTGCTGAGGAGTCCCATAGCAGGACGAAACTGCCGTCCAGTGCTTCCAGGTTTCTAATGGTGGTCTAACATTGATCGGTTCATGGTTTCAAAAAAAATGTGTAACTTAACAATCTTCACAACCCTGTAATTCATCTAAGTGACTAATTATCATTTGTTCGGTTTTTTAAAATCCATTTCAACTTGTAAAATGAGTAAGATTGAAGTTTTGTTAAGACCAAAAACCGATCTAAATTAGACAACCACTGGAAATCGGAAAGCATTGGATGGGAGTGTCGTCTTAATTTAGGAATCCTCAACAGTACACATCCACAACCGAACAGTCCTGTGTTTAATTCACGGTTGTGGGATGATGAGTCTCCTACTGTAGGACGAAGCGGCCATCTAGTGCTTTCGGATTTTTAGTAGTTGTTCCTAGTTTTAATAAAAGAATCCAACGATCTTCACAACCTCGCATACTGAAAATTGTAATTAATAATAGATTTAAACTATTCATCAAAAAAATTGTCATTCTAAATGAATTTGTCTAAAAATATTTGTGTGAAAAAAAACATTATTTTTGGCTATCTCTAACGGATATCCTTTATGCAATTTAGTTGCCATGACGAAATTTCGACAGGAAGCTCTAAAAAAAAAAAAGAGAGCATCATTGTGAGATAAAGTGAATTCCATTTGCAGTTTGTTTGATATAATCTAAAAATAGCAAATGTTTGTAGAAAAATATAGTAAACTTTCATGTAACTTTTTGATTGTCCATGTTTCGCTTACTATTCAGAAATGATAGTTGGTTAATTATGTAACTGTTTACAAATTGTAACTTCTCATATGTTGTGTATTGTGGTCCAATAATCAATGTGTATTATCATACCCGACCGTAGCTGCTACCTTGACGTGGTGGTCGGGCTTGCCTATCGTGATGACCCAACCGAGCTATACTGGCTGGAACATATGTTCCTGCAGGTCCTACCATGCCAGGCAGGTCGATTGGAGAACGATGAGACTAAAAGCAGCTACCCAAGGTCTGAGGGCGAAGTCGTACTGCTGACTGTGATGGAGGGGTGTGACAGCAGTAAGGTGTTTCCCTCGGACAACCAGCATCTGCAGCGATGCTGCCTTCTCACAAGGAAGGAAGGGTTAGAAAAGGTCGACCCTAAAAATGTCACACCTCCCCTAACTCACGGATTTCCGTCTCCCAGGGTAAGGGTGCTCACTAAGGGCCTTTAAGAACGGAGCTAATCCTCTAAATACCTTTCATAAAAAGGCCGTGCGTGACCGACCTCAAGCAGTTGTCCCTTGAGCTCTGCGGTCACGCACCAACACTAATCCATCTTCCTTTTCAGGTCCCTCAAGAAACAACCTTCCACGGTGTGGGCAGCCGGGAAGCGACAACCGCCCTCATACCCGTAACAGCACGAGAGACCAAATTGGTCAAAATCAAATCCTTCCTACACCCCCTAATGTCTCTCTTATCTCTACGACTAACTCTACTCACACTCCCTTTCCTCACTGCACCGCTAATGCAGACGAAGCGAGATCACGAAACGTCGTTCCTGGTCTCTTGAAACCCCGTTCTAAACTACATGTTGGAGCTTTTAATGTACGGACATTATGTCAAATAGGGCAACAGACATCATTAGCTAGGACTTTAGAAACTCGTGCCATCGATGTATGCTGCGTCTCGGTAAACGCGCATACAGGATCCTAGTAAAGTCATTAACCTGATTCCACCTTGTCAAAACGAAGAAGCAGCCCGATTCACTCTTCTGACCGACTGACTGTGTATTATCATATAAGAACCAAATCGTAAGGTGTACAGAGTAGATCGGTTGGCTTTTCTCCTTTTTCTGACTTGCTTAGCTGAGAGTGTTTACTTAGTGATTATTTTTGACCTCTAAGTTCTGGGTTCGAGCCTTGACCACAACCATCTACTTTAGCTTAAATTACCGGGAAGTAATAGTAGCCCTCACGCGTAGAGTGTAGCACCTGGAAAATGAGTTGATTTGTAAATTTTATGCTAATTGGAAGCAAAGAGAGGGTGATGCGGGCTAATTGGTGTCAGCATATTTGGTGGGTATATCAGGCAAATCAAAGGTCATTAGTATGGACTTAATCGATCAGTGTTATTAGTAAATGGACATATATAGACGTCGAGTTTACAACAGTTAGGTACTTAATAAGTATACTATTTTAAATTACTAACTTCAGTGATGATCACTTCAATTTTTTGTCTTAATATAATAAATCCTATGATGATACTACTAAAGGACAAATAATTCATCTTGTCACCCGCTAGGCAAAGCACCATAAACCAAGTTAAGTGGCTGCGTTGATATCAAAGTAGGGCTCACTACTTTAGTGACCCGTCATTTGACCCCATTTTGGAAGGACAGGCGAATATGCTGTGAAATAAATCTTCCCTTCCATTTTCGTATATCATATTTAGGCGAATCCCGTTTGTACAATGGCGGTGATAAGAAGCCAAATACGATTTTGTGGATGAATTTATTTCATACACTGATTTAAGCAGACAGACATGAGATTGAAAAGCGTGATGGCAAAACGAACTGGAGAAAGCGAGAGAGCCAACTCAATACGACGAAACATGACAAAAATAAGTCAGGCATGTGTTAAGCGAGGTAAACAATGCACACGCGCACCTTAATGAAAATAACCTAGTTATAAGCGAATGATACAGAAGATCGAAAGGCATGTGAATAATGAGTTCGGCAGAAAAGGTTAATTAATTTGTTCTATGGGCCTTATGGACTCAACATGATTGGCACACACACTATACCAATTTCGAGCTACATAATTTTGTTCGTGATTAGTATAATACCACTTAGCTGATTAAATCAGAATAGGCAAATCGGTTTCTCACCAGTAAATAAAATGGTCGAAAGTCAAGAGATTTGAGCACTATTTCTCTACCTAAATGTCGAACCATTAAACTGGTTATGCATTCCTTATAAACCAATCCTAGTTTATGCAATGAATTTTGCTGTATTTCAATTCAACTAATGAACTTTTGATGATAACCGGTTATATTGAGTTTATCCAACACCGGTTGGAATGACTGTAAAACTGTTACAAGTAGCCAATCCTTACAACAGTACGAAATGATTGTATCCTTAAATATGTCCAAACAGAATACATTCCTCCATATCACATTCACTTCAATTTAGTCTTTATCTAATGATCATCGTATAGTCGAACAGAAGAACAATGAGAACAATGTTACTTCAACAATAGGAAATATGTACTGTTTTATTTAGAAAGTTGTGGCATTTTATTTAAGTGTACACACTGTTTGCTCAAGTAGTTTTCTTCGAAAAATCAATCCTGTTGTTGTATTCAAGCAATAACATTAGAACTCAATTAAACTTAAACACTATTCATGTCTGTTTATGCGATCTTCTCACACAGAAGTTGACAAATTACCAAATTCTAACCAACTAACCGTAAAAACTATATTATTTATGTTTTCCTATAAATTCCTCTCCGGTGAACCAAAATAGTTATGAAGTTTATTGCATTAGAGTTAGTGCAATTAGAGATTAGTGCTTTTACACATTGAAACCATCAATCAATCATTGTTAGACCACCATTAGAAACTTGGAAGCACTGGACACGGCCGTTTCGTCCTGGTATGGGACTTATCAGCAATGCTCATTTACGACTCCTGCACCTCGCAGGATTCGAACCCGGAACCTTTGATCTTGCTAAAAGTGTAAAGAGGACAATTAGTAGTATACAAAAAATATCCGACTCTACTTCTTATACTAACAGTTGCGAGCGTGTTTGAGATTTTTTGCTTGTGCTCATTCAAAACTATATTAAGTAATCAATAATTCTGAATTCGATAATGTACGCCAGGAGATAGTCTCAAGTGATGAGGATATCAATGGTGATCTATAAAAGTGTAGATGATAGCAGTGATCGATAATCAATGAGTCATCAAGCAAGCAGAAAACAACTCGATAACGGAAAAGTCAAGGCTAAATTTCAACAACAATTTCACAGTCAAATGAAATGGAACAATGAAAAATAAATGTGTCTCAACCAACTCCACATAGCTCACTCACTCTCTCTCTCTCTCTGCAGAGTGTCCTGTGGTGGGGGGGGGGTTAGTTAACACTGACACAAAAATGAGTTAGAAAGTCAATATATACACAGAAATTAAATGCAAAAATCAGTATTTGTTATAAAAAATTATAGTGTGTGTGTTAGCGGTGTATGTAGTGCTGTGCATTGCAAATAATAATCATAAATGCAAATACAACTATATAGGTCTAATGTGTCTGAATCCATCTGATCTATTTCTGTTTGAACAGTTAGGTAGTAGTAGTATTATTAGCTGTCACGCTTAGAGCATGAGACGCATACTTAAGCAGTACATTGTGAATGAGTTGATTTCAAACGGTAAAAATCGACATAGTCTAAAAGATTCACTGTGCTGCTATTGGATTTATCTGTCAAGAATATCTAGCTATGTATCTTCTAGTAAGAATTCTGTTTTTTTCTTTCACCTGCGTAAATTATCGTTGAAATATGAGGTGGTTGGGACATGTGTTACGTATGCCCGACCACCGACTGCCTCGACGAGCAATTTTTTTGTGGTGTAGGAGTAAGTTGGAAGAAAGCTAGGGGCGGCCAGACCAAAACATGGCAGAAATCCATGAAGTCCCTGACAAGTGGACTGAGTCATGTTGGTAGATGTTGGCTCTACCTGGTTGGAGTCCGCGAGACGATAGTCACCAATGGTTAGAGACCTTGAATGACATGGCTCAGAATCGTTTGCAATGGCGCAAAAGCATCCACTCTTTGTATTCTCTCAAATTCTAACCTTCTGAATTCCTCATAATCTCTATCTTTCCCCTTCTAAATTTATCTCACTGAATTTTACTTCTCGAATCATGTCTTCGCTCCTTAATCTTCTCCATTACTGCTAATACTTCTTTTATCGCTATCACTGTTGGATTTGAACTGACAGTTACGTCTCTGTGCTGATGTGGTATGGCAACCTGAACTGATGTACTTACGTACGAAGTTCTGCGTTGTATCTGTCTGTCTGAACAAACCTCTGTATAACCTCCTTTCCCCTCGTACAGACAGACGTACACAATTGATTATGTTTTTACTTTTAAGCCAAATAAAGAATATTCCTCATTAAACAATTTCCATTGTTTAGTATAACCACTACAAAATATGACTCTCTTCCCTTCTTGTATGTTGAAAGAATTACTGATACACTTTCATTGATTTTATCCATGTGAAAAAGGTGATGTTTAATGCGACTTATATATTCACCTTAGAGTGTGTTACATTTATTATATCGTTTGTGAAATTAACTCTATCAATTGTTTATTCAGTATCATTTAGTATGAGAGTCATTCCTTGACTAATCATGCACATGTTTTATTTGTCGATTTCTGATTGGTTCACTGTGTCCGTCTGACCTATTGATGTCTGTTCATAAGACATTCTCAATAAATTGAAATCAAGAAAGTACCACTTATTCAAATAATACGTTTTTCTACTTAAAAAAGTACCATCTTTACATAAAAATTATTGAACACAAAAATAAACATGAACAATTAGATTTTGTTGATCTCTTGAGTACCATTGAATGGAAGAGTTCCCTTTCTGGTTTAATTACGTTAAACGGAGTTCGACTTCGTGTCGGGGATGTTAGATCCCCAAAACTCGCTTGGATTTATTTGGATTTATTTCATGCCACGTTCAATTGACCTTGAGATTACATTTCCCACCAGGAAAATCCTTGGCCGTGATTGGTTACTGTGTCATTTTAGTGTGCTATTTTTGTGACTGTCCCAAGGATGTCTCTGTGGCGTATAAATAAACGCAATTTGAGTGCTTGGATTCATTGTGTGTGCTGGCTGGGTGTTTGTAGAATACACTTTCTACGCTATATCAAGGCTTCTTGCTGATTCATTTTAGTCAATGGATCACAGTAGCCTAACTGGACGCTGGTTCATTGTTTGTTCTCGTTATTCGACTAAGGTGAACTCGTAACAGTTTAAGCATACCTAGAGAGAGCGTAGCGGTCTGCTATTCAATGGCTTGAAGTTATTTAAACTAATCACTTCACCATAGTAAAACTTCAAGCTAAATGATATAACACCTAGAAATATACAAGAGCGATTGTGTGTTAGTTGATTAAAAAAGCACTTTTACTAGTTCAGAAAAAGAATTCAAATTTTATGAAGATTGTTATATATGTGTTTATGCATGGTTGGTAATAGTTAAAACAAGAACAATTGGAAAAGAATAGCTCCTCCGCCCCACTCTCTCTCTATGATCTTTTAAACTCTCAGTAAATGGAGGATTGGATCTGTATGATTGATCCAACTGACTTGTTGTGATTGATCGATCCTTGATGAAAAAACAAACAGACATGTTCAGCTGCACTATATGTATGCAACCTTCAAGCGCGTGTTACATTCTCAGGAAATATAATACCACCGAAACTATCCATTTGATTTGTAAAATTCATTTCACTTACCGGTTGTGTTTCTTATGCATACATACAGCTAACAAACTCCTCTTTCTCCTGATCTATCATCTAGTTCTCGATCAACTAATCATGCCATTAACTTAAATGATTCGATCAAGTGTCAAATGATAGAATCATAATAAATCTAGAGATATGTATGTGCACTTTAAATCACACTACTTTACAATCTGTCTGATGGTATACTAATAGTATCTATAAAAATTAACCACAATTTTCGCTATGATATATCGGTTAAATTTGATAGACTTATATATTCACAATATTTTGCTACACACCTGTCATATCTTGCCATATCTTTATGATAACATCTAGAAAATGTGATATTGAATGGCATATTTTTATCAACTCCTTTCATGATCACACGTCATATAACTTTTATGATCACAATGTTGCGTTATTTGATGCGATGTAGGGTTCACTACTTTGGTGGCCCGCGCCCTGGCTCCAATATTTATGATCGATCGTGTGTGCTATGAAATTAATCTCCGCATGCGTTTCCCTATATACTACTAAGGCGAACGCCGTTTGTCCGACGGCGGTAATAAGGAAGCCAAGTGCGGACCCTGTTGGATGAGTTTATTTCAGGCAATCGTTCACGCGGACATGATAATAGAAAGCATATAAACAAAGCGGAGTGAATTGAAGTGGAGAAGGCGAGAGAGAGCCAACTCCATTTGATTAAGCATTTATAGTGCACACACGCACACATACACACACAAATAAAAGCAACGCAGATATGAACAAATGACTGACTGACAAGGTCAAAAGACAAGTGGGCTAATTAATTTGTCCTACAAAACACTTTGAAAACACAGTCTACCTTTTCTGCTCTGGTACATTTAATTTTCACACTAATTATTTTCTCCTTATTTTCTTTTCTTTCTTTTTTTGGGGGGGAAATTATCAATCGTTTCCTCGTCTAGAATGATTCATATTGTAATTATTATGAAGGCAGTAGTATAACCGGTACGATTGGAAATGAAACTAATGGAACTGTTAGCATCAATAGTATACCAACAACATGTGTTAACTCCGCATCGACGAATACATACAATCATGTAGATAATAATTCATTACAGACAATGCATGATCATCAACATCATCAGGTTCATTATTCCAATACAAATAATAATTGTTCTTTCAATTCTAATGCATCATCATTATTGATTCGTAATAATACTACGATGAATCATTATCCTATTATGAATAGAAATCAAACACAATATACTACTACTAATACTACTATTAATGATAATAATAATAATAATCATAGTCATATTAATGAATCTACGCCAATGTTGATAAATGAAGCGCATAGTTCATCAACTAATCATTTTCATGTATTGAATCCTTTTTCTCGTTCAACAATTAACAATAATAATAATAATAATAATACTCAACCTAGTTCTATTGAATTATCTTACATTCCGTCATTATATCATCATACAAGAGATAATCGAAGTAACAATAATAATAACAATAATACACGTCTATCAGAAAATCATGCACAAACAACATATGTTAATCAAGGTATGTTCAAGTTATTCTATTGGTTTTTGATTCGACTCAGTGGACCGTGAGGTTCTGTGGCAGTGTCTGTCATTGAAAGATGTACCAAAGAAGTACATTAATCTTATACAAGCTCTCTACTCGAACACCACTGGTCGAGTAAGAGCTTATGGCTAACTGTCACCGGAATTCTTCACTTCAAGTGGTGTCCGTCAGGGATGTCCACTTTGTCCATTCTTGTTTAATTTTTTCGCAGACATGCTCCTAGAAATAACCCTGTCCTCGTCTGAACTTTCAGGAGTAGACCTTTTACCAGGTGGCTCGCTTATTGACTTAGAATATGCCGATGACATAGTCCTACTTGGTGAAGATGCTGACAAAATGCAGTCTTCTGACTACCCTAAGCAACAATGCAAGCATGTTCGGGATGCGGTTTTCCCCCTCGAAATGCAAAATGTTGCTTCAAGACTGGGTTGCATCGGCACCTGAACTAGTGATAGGGAGTGAAGTAGTCGAACGTGTAGACCGCTTCACTTATCTTGGGAGTCTCATCAGTTTTGATGGCCTGGTGACTGACGAAATCTCAGCTCGGATACAGAAGGCTCGATTAGCTTTTGCCAACCTGCGTCACTTATAGCGAAGGCGAGATATCCGTTTGCTGACTAAAGGACGAGTGTATTGTGCACTTCCGGATGGGAATCACTTACGTGGGTGCTTAACTGTTTTTCTAGTTGCTCCTGAAAGATATCCTTAGCTCTGCTATGATTAGGTAGAACCCTAAAAGGTTTCCTTGCAGTATCTTTCCTACGTCCAGTAAGTCACAAACAAATACGCGCTCGCACTAGAGCCTGATCTGAGTCTAGACATGTGCCTCAGAACGAGCAACAGTCTTCTATCGAACCCCTCTATCCGTGGCTGATAGCGATGTGATCTAGTTGAGTCCAACGTTGAGATGACTTTGACGGTCGCCATGTCGAGAGATGTTAGTTAGTGTTTGCTAGAAATAGGCGGTTATCTAAGCATAGTTGCACCAAACGGTCACCATTATCTGATCTTTGAGCTGCCGACACCATAACATCCACCTAGGTGTCTTTCATTTTCACTTAGTCTACCTACTTGAGCATTAAAGTCACCAGCCATTATTACTACATCAGAGCACTTAACGTTTTGGTGGAGGTCCGAAAGCTTTCTGTAAAACTCATCCTTCACCTTGTCTGAACTTCATTCAGTGGGAGCGTAGGCAGATACGACGAAGAGACAACGGCGAGTCCTTACTGTCCCGTTTAGTCGGACAGCGCACAAGCGACCGTCTACGGGGATCCAGTCTAAGGCTCTAGGACTTCAGTGTAAATATAATTGACTAAATCTTTCGATATTTATGAATATTTTAATGTTATTTCAGAGAGAGTGAGAGAGAGGTATGTGTGTCGCTTTGTTTTTTCCATTAAAATGATCCTTCTTTTCCCCTACTTTTTGATTATCTTCCTTTTTTTCATTGCTAGTTTTTCGTGACCATTCAGCAGATCAACAACCATCACCTAGTGCAAGTCGTTTCAGTTTTATTTTTTCACCATTAGATGTAAATGCACCGCATGCATCACAAGAAACTTTAAGTACAGCTACATCACAAACGTCTATACGTCTACTTGGTTCACCATCTAGTCCAAGAGGTTTTCCACCGGTATCATCATCATCATCATCATTTCAATGCACAACTGAAACGACTACATTGAATGAATTATCAACAATATCAATTAATAATGAAACAGCGGATGATTATTGTCTCAGTCGAACTGGTACTATGCTACCATCCAGTCGTTTGACAAATTAATAAATATTAATAATAATCATCATAATCATAATAATGCATTATATGATTTCTAATGTTGTTCGTCGTTGTTGTTATTGACACAAAAAAAAGCCATTATCATATTCTCACGATAACTGCCAACTACTTCCACTATATATATACATATTTACTTGTACAACGTGTTTATTTCAACTGATTGTTTTAATGAGCACCAACTTTATCTGTTTATTTTTTTCGTCAATAATAGCATTTGTTTGAAACAAATTTTTTGTTCAGCTCAATGTGTGTCTGTGTATGTATGTGTCTGTTTACCAACTCCTGTTTGTGTGTACATTTCGTCTCTTTTTTTTAGTTGTTGTTGTTACTCCTGTTGTTGTTATTGTCATTGTTGTTCATTGACATTGTGTATGTAGATAGATAGATAGATAAAAGAATCATATCTACAAACGGCCAACACATATATACACACACACGCACGCACTCACACTGCACATTCAAAAGTAATGTAATTTTTGTTTTTGCACTTACTTACACCTGTTCTTTTTCTTTTTGTTCACTGCTAACTCATCATTCACATCTGTGTCAACTCAACTCTTCTCTGTGTACTACTGCTTGTACACACCGTACGATGTATATGTATGTATGTATGTCTTTTCTTTTCTACTAACACATTACCTTAATTATTAATGTCAATTAATTGTACAACTTACCTTTGTTATTTTTTTCCTATTGTTGTCGATCAATAAATTGTGCTAACGAGTGGTTACTCTTGTCAGTATTATTATTATTACTATTATTATGACACTACTCAAGGATATTACACTTTCTATTAAAATGTGTTCGTGTGTGTGTGCAGGAAATTTTAATTGAAAACCTTCTTTTTTTTCTCATTATCTTTCATCAATTCCAATTGTAAAAGTATCTGATAAAAATTTTTAATGTAAATTGAATTATTAATTGCCTTGTCTCATTTTCTTTGATGGAAACGATTTCCCGACTTTTTTTCCTTCTTGACTGTTTTTATTTGTTTGTTTGTGTTCTGTTTCGATTTGTCGTCGCAGTGTTTGTTATTCTCTTGCTGGCTTTTTTTTTCTACTGTTTGCTAACTAAGGTGACATATTTTTCAGCTCAGTTTTCAGGTTAATGCATATATTTATAGCAGCTAGCTGTGCAACACATACACAATTTAGGATAAATGTGTGTGTGTGTGTGTGATTATTAAAGTGTTGTTGTTTCTCATGCCATCCATCCATCATTCATTCAATTTTTTTTTAATGCAAATAAATGTGTATACTTGATAACTAATTAATTTATAGATCCTTATATAAGTAGTATATATATATATATTTGTGTATATGTATGTGTACATGTTCTGTAATGCCAACTTCTGTGTTCATGCACATGTTCTATTATTATTATTATTATTTTATTTTTTCGTATAATGAAAAATAACTTATGCAACATTCGACTGATATATATATTTGCATATACTTGTAATGTCTTCATTTTGCTTAGTACTTAATATTTTATTAGTTAATTGCTTAAAAACTCTAACGAATTAGTCTTCCTGCTTACTGATCTTCTCGTTTTCAGTGTTTAAATTGACAGTCTAGATTTATTGTAGTTCTCATCTTAAGGTCAACTGAATATATATTAGAATTATTGAGGAAAAGACATTTTCTCTGTGAAAGTGTTGACTGATATGATGAATATTGTGCAGTAACTGTGTTTATTGTTATATACTACTGTATTGTCATTGTTACTGACGTGTAAATAGTACAAAATTTGTAAAACAAAAAAATCTATGATTTAGGAAGATTTCAATATGTACACTCTATTGTTTGGTAAAGTAGAACTCAGTACTAAGTCAGTAGATTACATGTTAGGATTTTCAAGCGAGAGGCAATGGATCCAAGTAATACCTATCTTAAAAAAGGCGCATACTGAACGGTGCTGCTAGCCACTACCCAACTTTAGTTAAAACCTTATGAGGCGATTACAACAAGATATGCATATTTCAAAACAGATTGGTCGATTGCATACAAGGGAGATTCAATTCTTTATAAGTGAGAATGTACTCTATTGTCTTTAACGAATCCCAGTACATATATATTGTCCATACACTCGGTTTTAAAATTATACGTTCTATGAGCGAAAGCTAGTAACGGTTACCCTTAATGGAGCATAGGCCGCCGACTAGCATCCTCCAACCTACTCTCTCCTGGGCCTTTTCCATTTCTATCCGATTACTGCCCATTCTTTTCATGTCTGCTTCCAATTCTTGGCGTAATGTATTCTTTGGCATTCCTCTCCTCCTTTGACCTTAAGGATTTCAAGTGAGGGCTTGTCTGTCTTGTGATGCAGTTTAAGAAGAAATTTATTAAGTTTTTAAATATCAAACTCAAAATTGGAATACTTTACTCATTTTACTTCACTAACTACTGTGTTATAATACACTTCAGTCTATATAACCAATTGATGATGATATACATGGTGTTATATATATTAGGTCAATTCACAAATATGTTAAAATAGTCAATAAGTTGAATGAGTTAAGTGATGTTCTTGCTATCAATGGAATTTCAGTCATTTATATATGATTGCTTAAAATAAAGTTTTAACTGAAATGCTGATTTCAAACTATGAAATCATCTCTAAAAACTAAATTGTCACGTAGTTTTCAATCACTGACTAAAAAAAATACGATGTGACATTTGGTTCAGAAATGAATAAATCAGTGCAACGTGAAGCTTCAAAAAAAATTATTTATTACTTTTAAATAAGATAAATTAACGTTTAATCATATATATTCAACAGAAAGTCCGATTTGTGTACAAAGTAGCTTATGGAAGATTTATCTGTTTGTACGGTTGTATTCGTCATGGATTATAACATCAGTTGGAGTACAATTGCAAATCAAACAGCAGATTAGTCCGTAATTATGGTCTAATACACGATCTTCAAGTATTTTGAGTTTAAATCATTTGGGTTAGATTCACATGATACACATCAGTTCACAATATAGTCCGACATTTTATCAAATATTCTCAGTTATGATTTTTTTAATGTGGACATAATTGAACTCCAGTTGTCAACACCTTTAACTCATTTCGAAACCTATCATCAGTTTAATCTGTTCGTTTTGTTTGTCACGCATGAACATTAGTCTACCACTAAATTCAAATTGAGTCATGAATATTCATTTTCGATGAGTAATTATACCATGAGAAAACAGCTACTGACTACTCACTTGTTTTCATTGCCGCTCCAATTGATTTCACTGGGACCAACACTTGGAAATGTAGACTGTTGTATTGCAACAATGCATATTGTTCACCGAAGAATACTTATAATACAATTATGTTTAGCCAAAAGATATATCTGTGGTGCGCGCTACTTATAAGTAGTATATGGCTCAAGTAAAAACGTAATGTCTGGCAGCAGAAGATGGGGGAAGATCAAGAAAGAAAGAGCGGGAACACAATGGCATTTGTATGAAATAGCATGAACAGTGAAATGTCAGACAATGGATTGATGTTTTTGCAACAGGAACAGTCCAGTTCGATATGATGAACTGATATTTTGCAAATTAACGATTTACGATATGGTATTCCTCCTATTTTACCAATTAACTCTGTAATTTGAGATAAATACAATTCGGTTGTCCTCATCTGTGTTCTCCTTCACTACATATCTTTCCTTTATATATACGCCCATTTTTAATCAGTTTTGTATCCATACATTGATGATTGATTCACTTCATATTGAAATGATTTTATCATTTTCATATGGAAGTACTTATTGACTGTAGTAGATAAGGTGAATGTGTCCAATTATCAATATACTATAATCTCAAATATATAGCCATATTAACTGGATGAATTAATAAAAGGATAAAGCTGTTAACTAGTGGAGTGAATAACTTACTCTGAAGCATACAGTTTTAGATACTTTACTGGAAATGCAAGTCATCTGAACGACAAGGAAGTAGGATTTAAGCAGTAGACATTTTTAGGTTATTAGCCTATGAAATAGGGGTTTAAAGGTGAGAAATGATGATATTTTTACGCGTCGACTTAGAAGATCTACTGGGAATATGTCTTATGCTGCTAATTGCATGTGACTTGCACAACGAATCAAAGATAGGTTACTTAGTGATGATGGATTGTTCTACGGGTGCATATCAACTGATCTAAATGCTCTTGTGGAGCTAGTTATATAGGGCGTACTCGTTATGTGCTCGTTAATAAGTAAGTACCGGTGGGTTTAGGGAAATAAGTTACAAGGTCGATCAATAGCACCATACATTCGCACTTCTTAGACAGAGGACATTGCATCAAAATGGATTAAGCCTTCTTGGTTTCGTATCAAATCCTGAAAAATCCATCTGAAGGAACTCTAGATTTCGGCTATTCTACATGGTGGAAGCTATTGGAATTAACTTCAAAAACTAAATCAATCGATACACAGATGTGTATTCTGCTGGCTTTGGTAACCTATGCTTAGACCGTGTAGTAAACCCTTACCTTACTATTTTTGATTTTTTGAAATTCTCTTATAAGACCATGCGAATAGAGCCACTGCCAGAGAAATCCTACTCACTGCCTTCTCGTGGAGGGGCTGTGGTTTACGAAATTGACAGAATGAACAATGAACATTTAGCGGTCTGACTGGGTTGGTGGGTACGGAGGATCCATCTAGGAGAGTTGGAAAACCCTGATTGCGAAGCAATAGTGCATGCACATGGGTTCCACAATCCTGAACCTGAACAAATGGCGTATGAGCATATTGTTGATCACTGGTTCACATGGAGACTACATCTCCTAACGTTGATCCACTGCCTTGTATACTGGATCTGTAGGTCAAATCTATTTAAGTTCAACCCTCTCGCTCATATTAAACCGTACAACTTACTCGAATCACTTTATTCAATTTCACTCTTAAAACAGAATCTCATCCCTGTTACTTGAAGTGTTATTTCAGAATCGACGAACAGTTGATTCTTTTTACCGCAAAACTTGAAAGTCACCAAATGGACAGCCTTATACAATGAACAATTTTTTCTAGTAACAACTGTCTGTCTTTCTTCAATAAATAAACTATATACAATTGTATGATTTATAAATGTTGACCAAATATTTATCGTTAAGAACAACAGTATGATACGCATATTGAATTAACTGTTTGTTGTCTTATTGTTCTCTCTCTCTACTAGAGATTGACTGCAGTTCAAGCAACTTTTGTTTACTTTTGACTCTCATTCTTTCTAATTCTCAATGACATTTGTTATTTAATAATGAGCATACATTCTTAGCATACATTCATTTCATTCTATTCGTGTTGGCTAATGATTTCAACTAATCGATAAATAGGTACTACTACTTGATTATGCCATCATTATCATCATTCTAACTAATACTAATTTTCATACCACATAACCTGTCTGTCTAACTAACTACTACTAACAGTAATAATAATAATACTGTGTAGGTGTGAGTGCCAAATGTATGTAACCTAAAAGAATTGATTAAATCTAAGCTATTTACTTTTCACGCTACACCTGATCAAACTCTGGAAAAAACATCTTCTTGATTGAACTTTCGTTGCTTTTTACATAGAATGGAAATGGTATGTGTACATCATTAGAGTGAGTGTATGATGTACCATTTATTTGTAAAAGTCTCATTTTCTGCATAGTAATCTATCTCTAAAAGATGAATATTTTAAGAAAATGCATAGTTTAAATTAAAATTTACAAATGATCATATCCAAAACTTAATCATCCAATATCTAACTATTAATTATTCTTAATTTGAAAACTTGTCTTTCTTCGTAAGATGAAATTATCCACAACTTTGCTGTATGAATATGTCAGTATAGCTCAACCCAATATATCGACTTCAGACTGACAGTTTGGAGAGAGGGGGAGATGTACGGTGGACCAATAATGATATTAAGGATACTTCACAATTCTTGATCAAAGTTATTTGTTATCAGCCAAATTGAAGGTAAGCTGTCTAATTGGAGTGAAGCGTACTCGTATTAGTGGACTATATCTTATGTTACGATTCCGGAAATATGAGAGGACTGAAGGTTATATAGCAGGTGAATTGCAGACCGAAAATCTTAATGTTAAGTTTTCTTAATACCTTTCGGTGGTGCCCGGATAGTAGTGGGACGTGACGGACCAGGTGGAGATAAACCTAACCTACTGTGTCCAGCAGTAGGATTTAAATCATTAATGGATACACGGGCGCGTCTACACTTATGTTTAGTGCATAAGTCCTGGAATTATGTATTTCTAGTGTGTATGTAACACAGGCTTGCAAAGAGGAATCCAGTAAACCATCCTTTAACCTTAAACGATAAATGGTATTCCACTACACCCTGTTATTTGCTCTGCCAAAGTCAATAAATATCATTCAAATAAACCAATCAGGTTTCCAGAAAGCTTTGCCAACTTTCACTGGTTAAAAAGGGCAAGGTTTCTGACTCTGGCATCAAGTGACGCTGGTTTAAACTCTTCAAGGAGTCTTTGGTTGTATTAACATTTCACATACCGATTAGCATGAAACTTAGATAGAGCAGGGCTTCTTGCCAGTTGTCACTAACTACATTAAACTATCATTTTCTGTATCCTATTTTATGCTGGAGTGATCATTCGTATTTATTGATCTATGTTAGTAGACTAAAATTATAAACCATTAAAAATTTAACTTTTTTTTCAAAATTTTTTTAATCAACCTTCACTTAATACACAAGTATTTAATCTTTTCTATAAAAAAAAGTCTCAACTACACATACGCACACCGGAAGTGGTTGTGTAAAAGCTGATAGATATTTCACAAACAAAT